AGGTAGGGCGCTCCTGAGAAACCCCAAAAGCCAGCCCCTAGAACTATTATGGTGTGGACCATTACATTTCTCCAGAAGCAGGCTCTGATCTCTAGGGAGGGTGGGCCTGGCCAGGCCCTTCTGTGCCGGGGTGTGGGGCAGGAAGAGGGATGGACTTTTCAGTCTTGCATTCCTGCTCCCTATTTACCCCACTGGGGGTCTCGGGGTCTGAAGCCTCTTTGGGGTCCTACAGGGAAAGCTGGCTCCATGCTTATCTGTATTCACCCTTGTGGCCAGTGAGGCTGCAGTTTTCTCTTTCTTGTTTCTCCAGTTACCTCTCCTCCACTAGTTTTCCAGAAATTCATTGATAACACTCATTCACCAACAGCCCCTTCTATTCTCTTCATCATTGCAGGTGTGTATTTATTTTCTTCCTTTACCACGAAGTCTCTGGAGGGGAAGGAGAGAAATATGAAAGGTCAGTCTTTCAACTTGAGTCAGAGCCTTGATATCATTTTATTTTATTTTATTTTATTTTATTTTATTTTTTGAGGCAGGGTCTTGTTCCGTTGTCCAGGTTGGAGTACGTGTCTCCATTGCTGCTCACTGCTGCCTCAACCTCCCAGGCTCAAGGGATCCTTCTGCCTCAGCCTCCTTGTAACTGGGATGACAGGCACATGCCACCATGCCTGGCTAATATATACATATATGTTCTTTTGTAGAGACGGAGTCTTGCTCTGTTGCCCAGGCTGATCTTGAAGTCCTGGGCTCAAGCAATCCTCCTGCCTCAGCCTCCCAAAGTGATGGGGTTACAGGTGTGAGCCACCACTCTCCTGGGTTAAAAAAGCCTGGAAAGATATTGAAAGACCCCATCTATAAAAGAAAGTTTTTTTTTTTTAACTTTTATTTTAAGTTCAGGGATACATGTGCAAGTTTGTTACATAAGTAAACTTGTGCCATGCGGGCTTGTTGTATAGACTAACTAATGAGTACTAGGCTTAATACCTGGGTGATGACATTTAAAAAAAATTAAAAATTAGCTGGGTGCGGGGGCATGCACCTGTAATCCCAGTTATGCAAGAGGCTGAGGCTGGAGGATCGCTTGAGCCTAGGAGTTCCAGGTTGCAGTGAGCTGTGGTTGTGCCACTGTACTCCAGCCTGGGCAACAGATCAAGACCCTATCTTAGAAAAAAACAAAGTAAAATAAAATGAGGGTGTTGAAATCTCTCTCACCTCATGATCCCCAAGACTATTAGGTCACTAGAAGGCCAGGGAAGAGTCTTGGGGTTTAGTGTGTGCTGGCCCCCACCTAGGGTGAATAGAGGTCAGCCTGTCTTTTCCCGGGAAAGGATCCACTGCCCTGCCCTGTCCTTACCCAGGAAGGACAAGGGGTTATTGTATTTGCTGCTCTGTCGATCCAGTTCAGCTACCTCTTCTCTGGTCTTCCTTCTCTGGGCTTGGGGGGTCAATGCCTCCCCATCCTCTGGGCAAGCACCATCACACAAAAACTGGCCAAGCCCCCTGCTGTGTCCTATGCATCAGGGAGAGTTAGAGAGAAGCATCCCTACAGGAAATCCATGTGCTCCAAACTCCTATCTCTTAAAGCTGAGAATGAAAGAGGTTAAAGTTTGTCCTTCTGGCTACTCCCTTCCACCAAAGAAGCCCCAGGAACCACCCACGGTGTGTTCTAGGCTTTCTCCCAGAGGGCCCTGGAGCTCCCTGGAGCTCCCTTCCCGGATTGTCAGGGTTTCCTGCCCTGTGCTCACTTTGATGCCTCCTCCTTCCACAAAAGTCTCAGGACGGTCTGCTCAGCCTCCTGCTGCCTCCTCCTTAGCTCATTCCTCCATGTTGAACACCTGCCATGTGCCAGGGAGCTGGTGCCTCCGGGAATCCAGGCCAAGCCCAAGAGGATTGGTCTGCCCTCAGGGAGCTTCCAGCCGTAGCCACCTTCTTAGCAAATGAGCTACCTTGTAAACTTGTTTGTTTACAAGGTTAATGTAAATGCTTAATGAAGACATGACAAATCCTTTTGTAATTTAATTCTTTTCTTTTTTTCTTTTTCGAGACAGAGTGTTGCTCTGTCACCCAGGCTGAAGTGCAGTGGCACCATCTTGGTTCACTGCAACCTCCGCCACCCGGGTTCAAGCGATTCTCATACTTCAACCTCCTGAGTAGCTGAGATCACAGGCGCTCGCCACCATGTCCTGCTAATTTTTGTATTTTTAGTAGAGATGGGGTTTCACCATGTTGGCCAGGCTGGTCTCAAACTCCTGGCCTCAAGTGATTCGCCTGCCTTGGCCTCCCAAAGTGCTGGGATTACAGGCATGAGCCACTGTGCCTGATAATTCACGTTTGGTATAGGTACATGTCTGGGTATTTGGTGTTTTCCTTTGGATTCATTTAGACTTTGAAGTTATCTTTCTGGCTTTATTTATTTATTTTTATTATTATTATTTTTTGAGACAGAGTTTCACTCTTGTTGCCCAGGCTGGAGTGCAATGGCGCAATCTTGGCTCACCACAACCTCCGTCTCCCAGGTTCAAGAGATTCTCCTGCCTCAGCCCCCCAAGTAGCTGGGATTATAGGCATGCACCACCACACCTGGCTAATTTTTTGTATTTTTTTAGTAGAGATGGGGTTTCACCATGTTAGCCAGGCTGGTCTCAAAATCCTGACTTCAGGTGATCCACCTGCCTCGGCCTCCCAAAGTGCTGGGATTACAGGCATGAGCCACTGAACCTGGCCTATATATTTATTTTTGAGACAAGAGTCTCGCTCTGTCGCCAGTGGCGCAGTCTCGGCTCACTGCAACTTCTGCCTCACTGGTTCAAGCAATTCTCCTGCCTCAGCCCCCCAAGTAGCTGGGATTATAGGTGCGCACCACCATGCCCAGCTAATTTTTGTATTTTTAGTAGAGACGGGATTTCACCATATTGGCCAGGATGTTCTCAATCTCTTGACCTCGTGGTCCGTTCGCTTTGGCCTCCCAAAGTGCTGGGATTACAGGCATGAGCCACTGCCCCCGGCCCTTTCCAGCTGTATTAACCTAGGACTTGCCTGGATGCTGGTTCTCCAGAGGCCAGGGTCTGCCTCTCTTGTCTGGTGGGACTTTTATTCCACAAAAAGTATAGGCACCAACTGGGGAGAGGCACAGGGGCTGGGTGTGTTAGACTTCTAGAGACTTCTCTAGGCAGCCATTTTCCCAAAGATTGGCCCAGGGAGCCCAGATCTGCAGGGAAGTGCTAAGCGTGAAGTGTTGGGAGAGCCCGCTGCCCTGGTCGACTGGGGGAGTCTTCTGTGGCAAATGAGGTCCTCCTGAGGCACATGGTGAATCCCCAGAGGAACTGGAACACGGGGTTACCCTTCAAATTTCCTTTTCCAAGGAGACTTTATTTGTGTGTTTTTCAGCGGCGGTAAATATAACAGACCCTGCTCTTTCTAGCATGTTCTGGGTCATTCCACCAACGACACCCATGGCTGTGCTCTCAGGAATGGGTTTGGATTTCTCTGTGGGCTGCCCAGGGGCAACTAGCAGGATAGAGGGGTAGGTAGAGAAGGCTGTGGTCAAGCTGCATTTGCATAGCAAGCTCATTGCATTGATAGGTTAATGGTTTAACATAGCAAAACCTCTAATGGTGCTTTCATGTATTTATTTATTTTGAAGACAGGGTCTCCTTCTGTTGCCCAGCCTGGAGTGCAGTGGCAGGATCAGAGCTCATTGCAGCCTCAAACAATCCTCTCGCCTCAGCCTCCTGAGTAGCTAGGACCACAAGTGTGTGCCACCCTGCCTGGCTTATTTTTTGTAGAGACCGGGTCTTGCTCTGTTGCCCAGGCTGGTTTCGAACACCTGGACACAAGCAATCCGCCTGCCAAAGTGCTGGGATTATAGATGTGAGCCACTGCACCCGTCCCTAATAGTGCTTTTAGATTCCAAATGTCCAGGTCAGACTTTATAATAATTGCTTTTATTCAGAAGGGGGAAGCTTGACGGGGACACTAAAGCCCCCTCCGTTGGGGGCAGCCCTGCCCATGGCTGGACCATCCTCAGGAGGCCGTGTGCCTGCCTGGGCCACCTTGGGCAAATGCCCCTCTCTGGGCCTTGCCTTCTGCCCAAGGGGAGCTGGATGGAAATGGTGTAGGTCAGACTGCCCCGTGGAGTACTTGGGACTTTGAGGGGCTCCCTGTGCCCCACCTCGGGGGTAACCTTAGCATCTCTGCTTGTGTCTGCTTTATTGACTGATACTTCTGTAAAATGTTTTATTTGAACCCAGGGCTTCTAAGGCAAAAACATTTGTAAACCACAGGAAACATAGGCCTGTTGTGCTCTGGGTCCCTGCTAAGTCTGTTTCAGTATGGAAACTGCGTGTGTGATACCTGCATAGTTGTTATTGGGGGAGCAAGTGTCTCTGGTGAGTGTCCCCCCGAGGGCCCAGTGAAGAACATGGGCCCTCAGGACAGCACTTGGCAGGTGGCCAGGGCCATTGCCCTCAGTTCTATTTTTAGGTACCAGTGACTAGTGACTGAAGGCCCTGGTGGGGAGGGACCAGCCAGCCACCCCACAGACAGTCTAAACACATGTTCTGAACGCTGGTGTAGTAGGGGCACCTGAAGTTTGTTTTAAATTTGCAGAAGCATCAAAATTTTCAACATGGCAGAAGTCACAACTTTGCTGAGTGGTCTCACATTCCTTTCTGTCTCTGTCTTGCTTTTCACTGTGACTCTGATATGTGTGGCCTCAGGGCTCTGGGCCTCTAAGGACCTTCCTCTGCCCTGGGATCCCTCCTGGAGCCCAGCCAGCAGGTCCATTCTCCAAAGGACCCTTTCCTTTCCACTGAACCGAACCAGTAGTTGCATGAACCCTGCCTGCTCTGGGCAGATTCTTAACATATTTGCCCATCAGCAGCCTCTCAGAGAGGAATGTTAAATGCTGCCGTGATGTCAAAGGGGCCCCAAGGAGAAGGGCCTGGGCCGACCTCGGCCTGTCACTCACAGGCCCGTGGAGGGTGGGAGATAAGCAAAGCCAAGGTACAGGAAGAACCCGGGTCTCTGCGCTCCTCACACAGCCCAGGCCATCGTGGGGGTTGGTGCTGCCGGGAGGCTGTCAGCTGCGGAGGACAATGACCTTGCAGACACCACCGCCTGAGTGAGAACCAGGGGTCTGTGCCTCTCGTCATTCCCCACTCTTACCCTGGTCAAGCCTGCACCAGCATGTCAGGAACCTCCAAGGAGAGTCTGGGGCACTGGGGGCTACCAGGGTTGGGCAAGGCCTGCTTAACCACCATGGACAAAAAGCTGAACATGCTGAACGAGAAGGTGGACCAGCTCCTTCACTTCCAAGAAGATGTCACAGAGAAGTTGCAGAGCGTGTGCCGAGACATGGGCCACCTGGAGCAGGGCCTGCGCAGGCTGGAGGCCTCCCGGGCACCAGGCCCAGGCGGGGCTGATGGGGTTCCCCGCGCTGACACCCAGGCCGGGTGGCCCGAGGTCCTGGAGCTGGTGAGGGCCATGCAGCAGGATGCGGCCCAGCACGGTGCCAGGCTGGAGGCCCTCTTCAGGATGGTGGCTGCGGTGGACAGGGCCATCGCTTTGGTGGGGGCCACATTGCAGAAATCGAAGGTGGCGGATTTCCTCATGCAAGGGCATGTCCCCTGGAGGGGAGGCAGCCCAGGTGACAGCCCCGAGGAGGTTGGTTCCTGCTTCCCTGCCCTAGCTGGACGGGAGGCCCCGGCCCTGGTGGGAGACTGGCCAGGCAGCCAGTGTTTGGAGAGCTGGAGGCATGGTGTCCCCTTCCTATGTGATCTGTTGATGGGGAAAAGGAGAGCCGGAACCTTAAACGGGTCATAAGTGGATTTCCAGGCAGGATACTGCCTGCCATTCTCCCCAGGGAAGGGAAGAAGCGGGGCTCTGGCCAGGACTACGGGGTCTTGGCAGCTCCAGGGAACCTAGCCGTGGGGGACACGCTGGTGGTTTGGGAGAGAGGACCACCACACTTCTCTGACACCCCCGTGACTGCCCTTCTGCTCCTTCACACATGGGATGGGACAGGCAGGAGTGGCCAGTCTCTCCTGATGGAGCCCCGCTCAGAAACCCACCCGCCACCTCCTGTTCCCAACCTTGAGCTTAGCTCCAGAGGGGGTGGACAGTGCAGCTGCCTGTGGGGAGACGAGTGTTGACAGTGACCCAGGGGGACAGCAGGCAGGAGCCGGAGCCCGGGGGTGGAGGGTGGCATTCCTGGGAGCGGCTGTTCCCAAGAGTTGCATAATCAATCCTGCAGGCTAATGGAAGCTTGGCCGCTGGGAGAAGGATATGGGGGGTGAGGTCTGCAGAGGGAACACCCTGTTTGGGGACAGCTAGGGGTCAGCCACTTAACAACACTCAGACAACCTGGAGCCACCATTTCAGACCCCTGAAGTGACTTACCAGCCTCTGGCAAGAGATGAGCTGGGGTCAAAGGGGTCTGCGCTTGACTCTGTGTCAGCTGGCGAGGACAGGAGCGTGCCTCCCCTCCCCGCACCAGGCCGGAGCTCCCCTGCTGCCCCTTCCCCTCCCTGCCCTGCAGCTCCTGTCAGAGCTGCCCCTCTCCCCAGCCCCTGCTGTCTCCACGGTGCCTCTCCTGAGGGCTTGGCCTGCAGGGCAGTGTGACCCTAACCAAGCCCAGTTTTAAAGAAATGAAATTATGCTGGGTGCAGTGGCTCATGCCTGTAATCCTAGTGCTTTGGGAGGCCAAGGTGGGAGGATTTCTTGAGGCCAGGAGTTTGAGACCAGCCTGGGCAACATAGTAAGACCCCGTCTCTACAAAAAATAAATTTAAAAATTTGCCAGGCATTGTGGCACATACCTGTAGTCCTAGCTACTCGGGAGGCTAAGGTGGGAGAATTGTTTGAGCCCTGGAAACAGAGGCTTTAGTGAGCTATGTTTGTGCCAGTGCACTCCAGCCTGGGCCACAGAGTGAGGCCCTGTCTCTTAAAAAAAGAAAGAAATTTAATCTAATTATAGTCAGCCCTCCATATTTGTGGGTTCTACATCTGCAGATTCAATCAAATCTCAGATCAAAATGTAGTTAGTCCTATGATGGTGTGTCCGTACTGAGCACGTACAGGTTTTTCTTTCCTGTCATTATTCTCTAAATAATAATACAGTTGTTACACGATAGTATAACAACTACTCATATAGCATCTACATTGTATTAGGTATCACAAGTAATCTAGAGGTGATTTAAAGTGTATGGGAGGATATGTGTAGGTTACATGCAAATACCATGACATTTTATATCAGGGACTTCAGCAGCCATAGATTTTGGTGTGGAGGGGGCCCAGGAACCGATCCCTGGCAGATACAGAGTCACGACTGTAAGTAATAAAATAGATCTAATCAATAGCGTTAACCAAATTAATATGCACATAGTAAAAAAATAATAATGTAAAGAGCATACATCTCCTTCCTATTCCATCCCCCAGGCCCCAGAACACCAATACCCTGCCCCGCAGGCAAGCGTGGGTTCTGATTTCCTTTGAATCCTTCCAGATAGAGGCTGTGTCTACAAGCAACTTAGTATCCACAGCACCCTTTTGTTTTGTTTTGTTTTTCCCACAATCTGTCCACCAGAATTGCTTTGTTGATTTGTTTTGTTTTTGAGACGGAGCTTCACTCTGTCACCCAGGCTGGAGTACAATGGTGTGATCTTGACTCACTGCAACCTCCGCCTCCTGGGTTCAAGCGATTCTCCTGTCTCAGCCTCCTGAGTAGCTGGGATTACAGCTGCCCACCACCATGCCTGGCCAATTTTTTTGTATTTTTAGTAGAGATGGGGTTTCACCATATTGGCCAGGCTGGTCTCGAACTTCTGACCTCAAGTGATCTGCCTGCTTCGGTCTCCCGAAGTGCTGGGATTACAGGTGTGAGCCTCCGCTCCTGGCAGAATTGTTTTATTTTAATTTAAATGTTATTCACATTGTCCTGGCCCTGATTTCTAATTTTTTACTTAATATATTTTGGGCATTGATTGATGTTTATATTGTTACGAATATATTCCGAGTACTCCCTTTGGGGGGCTGTGTCTTCAGTTGTTAACCAGCCCAGATCCTCGTTTGTTTCTATTGTTTCTCATTTTTGGCAACTATACATAATGATGCAGTGAATATCCATAGATGTATGTCACTGAACACAAGTGTGAGTTTATCTGCATGATACACTCCCACAGTGGAAATGCCAAGCCAAATGGTAAATTGATACGGATAAAGGCAAATCAGCCTTCAAAGAAGTTACTCCAAATCAGTCTCCTACCATCAAGGTGTGGGAATGCTTTTGATTCTTTGCCTTTCTGGTGAATGAAAATGGGAAATTATTGTGCATTTTTTTTTTCTCTTTTCTCCACCCACTTCTCCCTTCGGATTATTTTAAGGAAATCTGAGATGTTGGATCATTTCTTTCATAAATGTTTAGCATTTATAGCAAAAAGATAAGGGCTCTTTTAAAAAAACATAATCTTGATACTGTCATCACACCTAATAAAGTGAATACCTTTATTTATTTATTTTTATTTAGAGACAGGGTCTCACTACGTTGCCCAGGCTGGTCTTGAACTCCTGGGCTCAAGCGATCCTCCTGCCTCAGCCTCCCGCAGTGTTGGGATTATAGGCACAAGCCACTGCACTGGGCCGAATGATAACTTTTTAGTATTACTGAAGTTCGGTGTTCTAATTTCCCTGATTATCTTATACTTTAAAAATATTTTAGGCTGGGCGAGGTGGTTCAAGCTTGTAATCCCAGCACTTTGGGAGGCTGAGGCGGGGGATCATCTGAGGTCAGGAGTTCGAGACCAGCCTGGCCAACATGCTGAAACCCTGTCTCTAACAGAAATACAAAAATTAGCTGGGCATGGTGGTACATGCCTGTAATGTCAGCTACTCAGGAGGCTGAGGCAGGAGAATTGCTTGAACCCAGGAGGTTGGAGGTTGCAGTGAGCTAAGATTGCGCCACCATACCCCAGCCTGGGCAATAAGACCAAAAACTCCATCTTAAAAAAAAAAAAAAGCTGGGTGTGGTGGCTCACACCTGTAATCCCAGCACTTTGGGAGGCCAAGGTGGGCAGATCACAAGGTCAGGAGTTCGAGACTAGCCTGGCCAATATGGTGAACCCCCCCCCCCCGTCTCTACTAAAAATGCAAAAATTAGCTGGGCGTGGTGGCGGGCGCCTGTAGTCCCAGCTACCCGGGAGGCTGAGGCAGAAGAATCACTTGAACCCGGGAGGCAGAGGTTGCAGTGAGCCGAGATCGCACCACTGCACTCCAGCCTGGGCGACAGAGTGAGACTCTGTCTCACACACACACAAAAATAAATAAATAAAATAAAAATTTACAGTTTATTTGTATCAGACCCAAATAAGACAATTATTTTTATGTCTCTTAAAGGTAACCTTTTGAACTTATGAAAAAAATTTTAGGTTTTTATTATGGAAAATTTCAAATATAACCAAAACTAGACTAATATGTCTTATAGTTTTGATTTATATTTATTTTGCTAGAAGACTGAACATCACTCACAGGTTTGAAACCTTTTGTATTTTCTGTGGACTGCCTGCTCATATCTTTTCCCCCTCTTTCCTATTTTGTTTTTTTGCCTTTTTCTTATTGATTTGTAAGAGTGCTTCATATAGTAATGAAATTAGCTGTTACATATGTTGCATGAAGGCATTTCTGGTTAAGGGAAGTCACAGAACTTCCTACTTTTTGAGTTCTTGTGCCATTTCCCGTCTGTCCTGCTCCACTGGAACTTACTAAATCTCTCCTCTGGCCCTGGCGTTTAATAAACGTATCAGGAATGTCTTTAGGTTTGGTCCAGTCTCCCCATCAGGCTGTCGGCTGCTGATTGGCCCATGACGGGAAACCTCTGCTTCCCTCCATGTTGTGAGGCCAGGGCAGGTCTTGCAGGAAGGGCTCAGAGAATGAGCGGTGAACTGAGACACAGCCACGGCTGCTAAACACATCGTCAGTGCTGAATGCCGTGCATTATGGAGGCTTCTCGGGGACTGAGTTTCCTGGGAGAGTGGAGCATGGCAACCATCTTTGGAATGGAATTAAATCCTAGCACTGGCGGTTAAATTTGAAAATTGTGCCAGGACTTTGTGAAGGTCCTCCTGAGATCTTCAGAAGTCCCCAGTGGCACTTCATTTGGTTCCAGCAGTGAATTTGATGATACCTGGAAGCCAGGTGTGCTCTTCTGGAAAACAGTCCCGGGCATATGTGTTCAGAGGCACCAGTCCTCTAGAATGGTGTGTGAGGAAGCACAGAAACAGCAGGGACTAGAAGGCTGAGCCCTGAAGACAGAACCCAGCTGGGGGTGGGGGGTGCACATGCATGGGCCTGCCTACCCTAAAGAGGGGGGAAGCAGAGGACAGTTTGAACCCAACAAGGTCTGCCAAAGGACAGTCTGTCCAAGTCCCTTTCTGCCAGTGGGTGAAAGAGGAGGAGGTCTATTTCATGCCTCCAGTCCCCCCAGCTCTGGGGGCGGCAGGACAGAGTCTGAAGAAGGATAAGGGGGAGCTGTCTGCCGAGCAAGGGATCTGGGCCACATTGATGACTCTGGTGATCCTGGTGACAGTGGCAACGAGCAGTTTTGATGAAGTGCCTCCCCCACGCCAGGTGCTGGGCTGTGTGTTCTCCATGTGCTATGTCCTTACTGTTCAGAGGTCAAAGCTTGGTGTCCTGGAATCGCAAAGTAATGAGCAGGTAGTAATTTAGAGTAGTGGGCATGGTGTAGACAAACAGTGGAACCAACACCTTAGGGTTGGGGAGACATTTGGGACAGCTGTAGTGCCCTGCTTAGAGGAGACTGCCCTAGCCGAGTTTTGCCATCTTGGCCTAGCGTTGCCAGATCTTCAGGTTTTTTTCTGTGTGTGTGTGTGTGTGTGTTTTTTTTTTTGACAAGAGTCTTACTCTGTCCCCCAGACTGGAGTGCAGCAGTGTGATCTGGGCTTACTGCAACCTCCGCCTTCCGGGTTCAAGTGATTCTCCCTGCCTCAGCCTCCCGAGTAGCTGGGATTACAGGTGCCTGTCACCATGCCTGGCTAATTTTTGTATTTTTGTAGAGACAGGGTTTCATCTCACCATGTTGGCCAGGCTGATCTTGAACTCCTGACCCCAGGTGATCCACCCTCCTCAGCCTCCCAAAGTGCTGGGATTATAGGTGTGAGCTACCATGCCCGGCCATCCTCAGATTTTTTAAGAAAAGCTGGGGTACTTAGAATTTTTTTTTTTTCCTAGAGAGTTTTATTAAGGTTTAGTAACTACATAATAATTATGATGGTATAATTTACATGTAATAAACTGCACATACTCACAAACTATGCACATGTCAAATATATAGCTCCACAAATGTTTCTATCCATGTCACCACCACCACAGTAAAAATGGGAAACAATTCTGTCACCCCAAAAGGGATCCTAACTGTAAAAATCTCATAGATTTTAAAAGTTGGGAACAAATTGAAAAAGTTAAACCTGGGTAACAAAGTGAGTACCTTGTCTCTATAAAACAATATCAACCAACAATTAGCTGGAGGTGGCAGCACGTGCCTGCTCGTGAGGCTGAGGTGAGAGGATCACTGGATCATTTAATCCTGGAAGGTTGAGGCTGCAGTGAGCTGGGATCCAAACACTGCACTCCAGCCTGGAAAACACAGCGAGACCCTGTCTCAAAAAAAAAAAAAAAAAAAATCCAAGCCCAACAAAATATGTCCTGAGCTGTTTTTGGCCTCTGGGCTTCTAATTAAGGGCTTCTGTGGCAAGGCAGGGGAAGGCCCTGGCTGGGCCCCCAGGCGAAAGGCACTCACTGATACAGGGGCTTCTCTTGCCTTGGCCACAGAAGCCCCAAGACTGGTGAGTGCTTTACACCTCGGGGGCAAGCAAGGCTCTGGGCTGTGGCTGGCACTGCTGCTGTAACATGTGCCAGAATTCATCTTAGGGACTTCATCGAAGGGTGCAAACCCCAGAAACATCGTGCTCTTGCATGAGGACCCAGCAAGAGGTCAGACCATCTGGAAATACTTGCTTAAGTATGGACTAGCTGAGCATACTGAGGGCTCTGGGCTGTTTTATGGGTGAAAGCATGGGCAGGCCAGACACTGGTCTGGTGTGGACCATTTGGATTTAAGGAAAAGCTGCTGAGAGCTTCTCTGGGTCAGTGTCCTTACACTGGGCTCATTTAACATTGATAGCTCTTGGTTCCTGGCAGGACAAAATCAGCAGAGCTATTGAGCACCCACTATGTGCTGGGCACACTTCTAGGACATTTGCACATTACTCCCAAATCTTCCCACTGACTCTACAAGGCCGATAATGTGATTATCCCCATTTTACAGATGAGGAAAGTGAGATGCAGAGAATTTAAGGATCTTGACCAAGTGGTGAAGGTGGGGTTCAAACCCAGCATGGCTGGCTCCAGAGTCCATGCCCCTGGCTACACTGCTACACTGTAAAGAGGTGACCATGGGATCCCCCAACCCAGCTCCCAGGCACACATTACTAATTGACCTTGGCACTGTTTCCCCCAAGCAGGGATTTGACTTCAGAATTCAACCGAAACCAATGCTGTAGTAGCCATGATCAATTGATCTGGGTTGGCATATTAAGATTATTTTCATCTCTGGCCAGGCATGGTAGCTCACACCTGTAATCCCAGCACTTTGGGAGGCCTAGGAGGGAGGGTAGCTTAAGTCCAGGAGCTCGAGACAAGCCTGGCCAACATGGTGAAACCCTGTCTCTACTAAAAATACAAAAATTAGCCGGGCATGGTGATGCATGCCTGTAATCCCAGCTACTCGGGAGGCTGAGCTGGGAGGGTCTTTTGAACCTGGGAGGCAGAGGTTGCAGTGAGCTGAGATTGTGCCTCTGCATTGCAGCCTGGATGACAGAGCAAGACCTTGTCTCAAAAAAAAAAAAAAAAATATATATATATATATATATATACACACACACATATATATTTAAATGATTATTTTCCATCTCTAGTCTTAAGTCCTTTGGGGTCCAGCCTATTTTGAACCCTGTATCAGGAGCTGGGTTCATCCCTTATGGGGAATATGGTGAAGCCCTGGAAAGGAAGTGGTTCTTGGTGTGAAGGTGGGTGCCTCCTCTTTTAAATTTTATGACATTGGGAAGGCCTCAGTGTCCTTCTCTCTAAAGTGGTAACTGCAGTGTCTACTCTCCAATGTTACTGTGATACTGTGTGAAATAACCTAAATGCCCTTACCTTAAGCACGCGGGAGGTGCTCAGCAAATGTCTGTGGCCTGAAAGGCAATATTGATGATAATGATGACATTTTTTAATGGTTGTTATTTTAGAACAAAGAGCGAGTGGAAGAAGAAGGAGCAAAACCAAAGCATGTGCTGAGCGCCAGTGGGGTGCAGTCTGATGCCAGGGAGCCTGGGGAAGGTGAGTGGGACCCCGTTTGCTTTATCTGACATTGCAGACACAACAGCTTCAGAATAAAGTCCCCAACGACATGGCCCACAGTATGATTCCTGGGCAACTGTCAAAGCTTCTTTTTGTTTGTTTTTGCAGGGTTTTTTGTCATATATATCCCACCAGAGACACATAGTCAATTGCTATGTTTCAAAACCACTTGGAATACGGTTGACCCTTGAACAACTCGGGGTTGGGGAACTGACTTTCTGCACAGTTGAAAATTCAAGTATAATTTTTGACTTTTCCAAAATGTAACTACTGATAGCCTTCTGTTGACTGGAAGTCTTGCTGATAACATAAATAAGCGATTAACACATGCTCGTAATGTTTTATGTGTTAAATATGGTATTCTTATAATAGAGTAAGCTAGAGAAAAGAAAATGTTATTATGATGATCACAAGGAAGATAAAATATATTCCCTATTCATTCCGTGGAAGTGGGTCTTCATTCTTGTCATTTTCACATTGAGTAGGCTGATGAGGACGAGGAAGGTGAGAGGTTTGTCTCACTGTCTTGGTGGCAGAGGAGGAAGAAAATCTGCATCTAAGTGAACTTACGCAGTTCAAACCTGTGTTGCTCAAGGGCCAACTGTAGTACCTTTCTGTGCAGGCGATGCCACCAACTTGGTACTCAAATGCTTTAAATGTTTATGGATTACTTTGTTAACCTTTAATTTTCTTGTATAATTTTGCATGATATTTACATGGTTCCAAAGTCAAATAGACAAAACAATGTGTATTAAGAGAAGTCTAGAGGCCAGATGCAATGGTTCTTTCCTGTAATCCCAGCAATTTGGGAGGCCAAGGCAGGAGTATCACTTGAGCCCAGGAGTTTGAGACGAGCCTGGGCAACATAGTGAGACTCCATCACTATGAATTTTTTTTTTTTTTTTTTTTGCTTAAAAATAAGAGGCCGGGCATGGTGGCTCACACCTGTAATCCCAGCACTTTGGGAGGCTTAGGTGGGCGGATCACCTGAGGTTAGGAGTTTGAGACCAGACTGGCCAACATGGTGAAACACTGTCTCTACTAAAAATACAAAAATTAGCAAGCATGGTGGCATGTGCCTGTAATCCCAGCTACTTGGGAGGCTGAGGCAGGAGAATGGCTTGAACCAGGGAGGTAGAGGCTGCAGTGAGCCGAGATCACGCCACTGCACTCCAGCCTGGGTGACAAGAGCGAGACTCTGTCTCAAAAAAATAAATAAATAAAAGAGAAGTCTATCTTCTACCTTTGTTCTCTGCACCCCGCTTCCTCCCCTGATACGTAAGTAACCATTTAAAAAGCTTTTGTCTTTTCTTTCCCTTGAGGTCCAGTCTACCTAGACAAAATGGTCAGTGGTTATGTGCACACGTGCACACATACACGCTCACACATACTCCCTTCTTAGAGAAACAGGACCCCAGACACACCGTTCTCCACCTGGCTTTCTTTCACTTACAGTATATCCAGAGATCACTCCATAGTTGCGCTTAAAGATGGTTTTTTTGAGACAGGATCTCACTCTGTTGCCCAGGCTGGAGTGCAAGTGGCGTGAACATGGCTCACTGCAACCTCTATCTACTGTGCTCAATCAATCCTCCTGCCTCAGCCTCCGAAGTAGCTCAGATTGCAGGCATGTGCGACCATGCCCAACTCATTTAAAAATTTTTATTTTTAGTAGAGACAAGCTTTCACTGTGTTGCCCAGGCTTCCATAGAGGTATTAATTTCTTCTTTTTCACGACTGTGCCAACTCCTTGTTGGATGCTTCATGGTTTAGTCAACCAGCCCCTTTCATTTGGGTCGTTTCCAGTCTTTGGCTGTTGTAAACCTGAGCACTGAATGGCCTTGTACAGATTCCTCGCAGTATCTTTGCGGCAGACTCCTCCACATGGGAGTGCATTTTTGTCCTGCCTGTTTTCCTGTAGAGAGCCAGAAGGTGGACGTGCTGGAGGGGACAGTGGAGAGGCTGCCCCCCATCAGAGCTTCGGGGCTGGGAGCTGACCCCGCCCAAGCATGGGCCTCACCAGGCCAGGGAGATGGTGTTCCTGGCCCAGCCCAGGCATTCCCTGGCCACCTGCCCCTGCCCACAAAGGTGGAAGCCAAGCCTCCTGAGACACCCAGCGAGAGCCCCAGGACTGGCCTGGAATTGGCTCCAGCACCCGGCAGGGTCAATGTGGTCTCCCCGAGCCTGGAGGTTGCACCAGGTGCAGGACAAGGAGCGTCATCCAGCAGGCCTGACCCTTGGCCCTTAGAGGAAGGCACGAGGTTGACTCCAGGGCCTGGCCCCCAGTGCCCAGGGCCTCCAGGGCTGCCATCCCAGGCCAGGGCAGCCCACAGTGGTGGAAAAACACCTCCAAGGTAAGGGGAGCTCTTCCAGGCTGGGCAAGGGAGGGGATGGACTGCGGCACCTCGCTGGAGCTCGGCTGTGGGCAGCATCCACTGCATCCATGTTCCTGGGCTGTTCTTGCAAGGGGAGTGGGAAGGAGGCCTGGGCCCTGCCTCTGGGAGCTTAGAGTGCCACTGCTCACCGGCTGCCCACTAGAAGTACCTGGGGGTAGTCTGGAAAATAAAGATGCCTGGAGATGTGGATTGAATTGGTCTGGAGTGAGTTTCAGGAATTAGATTTTTTTTATATGCTCCCCAGGTGGTTCTAATGGAGAGCAGGGTTGAGAATCACTAGCTCTAAGATCAGTACTAACAGTAGCTAAAAGATGGGGCTCATGGAGCACCTGCCCCGGGCTGGCCATTGGCTGGGCATTTCACTGGCTTCCCCTTTTATTCTCAAGCCGTCCGCAGGAGATGAATGTGGTTGTCATCCCCATTTCATTGATGAGAATACGTAGGCTCCAAGTGCCCAGGGCCCCACAGCTAGGAATTCATAGAGTTGGGATCTGAATCCGGGTTACCGGATTCCGGAACCTGTGCCCCAATCACTGCACCATCCTGCTTCCTCAAGTCGACATTTAATTAAGTTCTAAATAATACGGTGAGGCAAGAAGGACAGGAACCTCAGGAATGTGAGAGGGGTGCAGGCTGAGTCAGCCCCAGGGGCTTTCGGGAGGCTCACGCAGAGGTCCTGGAGGCGGAGTCGTGGCAGCTGTCTTGGCCCTAGAACGCAGCCTGAGGACCTGCTCTGGCAGATGTCTGCAGCAGAGTGAAGAACCTGCAGACTCCCATGCCTTCCCCAGCATGTCCTGGTCCCCAGGGCGGCCCTGCTGAAGGGTGCTGTGCCCCCGGGCTTTTCTCGGAGGGACCTGGTGTTTCCTAGCATATTCTGTGCCTGCCAAGGGTGGCCCTGACCTGTCATGGAGAACCCAGGCCTGCCTCAGGGAGTGGATCTGGTGTCTGTGTTTGCTGTGGTGACAGGCAGAGAAGCCCAGATCATTTGTCAGACTTGGTTCTAGGAGGAAATGGGAGCCTCCCAGGGGGCCTCACAGGCTGGAGGAAGGGGTTCCTGGCAGGCATCCCGGGACTGGAACCAGGACACTAAATGTGGAATCTGGGGCTGGGGGTGAACTGTCTATGAAGTTGTTATGGGCCTCAAAAGTTCTCTATCTCAGGTTCAACCCTTGGCTGAATTCAGGCCCAGCAGACCTGCAGCAGCCTCAGGAAGTGAGGAGATCACTATCTGCCCTTCCTCACCTCCGACCTGGGTGCATTTTGAGGAAAACAGGTTGGAAGTATCAGCTCTGATGGGTCGTGATTGCCTGTGCAGAGGATCCTGCCAGGCGCTGTGGCTCACGCCTTGATCCCAGCACTGTGAGAGGCCGAGGCGGGAGGATCGCTTGAGCCCAGGAGCTTGAGGCCAGCCTGGGCAACAAAGCAAGACCCCATCTCTACAAAAATTAGCTGGGCTGCCATGGGCATGATGGCGGGCACCTGTAATCCATGCCTGCTACTGGGGAGGTTGAGGTGGGAGGATCACTTGAGCCCAGGAGGTTGAGGCTCTAGCTAGTTATGATCACACCATTGCGCTGCGGCCTGGGAGACAAAGTGAGACCCTATTTCAGACAAACAACAACAGCAGCAAACAAACCCAGAGGATCCTGAGGCCATGCCTACTGAGGCACTGAGCTGGAACTGGTCAGCACTGCCCGCATGGGTCTGCCCCCCGGCAGGTGGACAGCTTTGGGTACTCAAAGTGGCAGGAGCTGCTTGGAAGTGCCTTTAGGGGCTTCACTCAATGGCCCTGGAAGTGAAGACCCAAAGGGAAGTCATGATTGCTGGCCTTCTCAGCTGACTGTTGACTAGCAGCAGTTTCCTGTGTCCCTTGGTCTGGCAGGAGGCCTGAGTTAGATTTGGAGTGGCTTGGCGTGGATGCCACACTTCCCCTCCTACCTATCATTACTGAACCATGCCCAGTCCCAAGGCACAGTGTTGGAAGGATTTCTACCGCTCATCCAATGAGTCACACGCACCTAGGGACAGGTGTATCAGAGAGGTCCAGCCACTGAGACACGGGGACGGGGCCTTCAGCTGCTGGAGAAAGCCTTCACTGTTTTCTTTTTAAAAATTGGGATAAAAACTGGCCAGGCACAGTGGCTCACACTTGTAATCCCAGAACGTTGGGAGGCCGAGGTGGACAGATCACCTGAGGTCAAGAGTTCAAGACCAGCCTGGCCAACATGGTGAAACCCTGTCTCTACTAAAAATACACAAATTAGCTGGGCATGGTGGCAGGTGCCTGTAATCCTAGCTACGCAGGAGGCTAAGGCAGGAAAATCGCTTGAACCTGGGAGGCAGAGGTTGCAGTGAGCCGAGATCGTGCCATTGTACTCCAGCCTGGGGGACAAGAGTGAGACTTTGTCACAAATAAATAAATAAATAAATAGGGATAAAAACCACATAATGTAAAATTTAACATGTTAGTGCCCCCCTCCTTTTTTTCGAGACAGGGTGTCACTCTGTCACCGGGGCTGGAGTGCAGTGGTGCTATCTCAGCTCACTTCAGCCTCCACTTCTCGGGCTCAAGAGATCCTCCTGCCTCAGCCTTCAGTGTAGCTGGGATTACAGGCATGTCCCACCATGGCTGGTTAATTTTTTTTTTTTTTTTTGTAGAGACGGATTCCACTATGTTGCTCAGGCTGGTCTCGAACTCCTGGCCTCAAGTGATCTTCCTGCCTCAGCCTCCCAAACTGCTGGGATTACAAGTGTGAGCCACAGTGCCCAGCCCCATCTTAACCTTTTAAAAGTGTACACAGTAGTGTTAAGTATATTCACGTTGTTGTGAGACAGATCTCCAGGACGTTTTCATCTAGCAAAACTGAGATTCATCATCCACTAAATAACATCTCCTGCTCCTAGCCCTTGACAGCCACCATTGTACTTTCTGTCTCTGTGAATCTGAGACACAGATTTTTGAGGGTCCTCATATCAGTGGAATCATACGGGATTTGTCTTTTCTTTTTTTTTTTTTTTGAGATAGAGTCTCACTCTGTCACCCAGGCTGGAGTGCAGTGGCGTGATCTCAGCTCACTGCAAACTCTACCTCCCGGGTTCAAGCGATTCGCGATTCTCCTGCCTCAGCCTCCCAAGTAGCTGGGACTACAGGCATGTGCCACAGCACCCGGCTAATTTTTGTATTTTTAGTCGAGATGGGCTTTCTTCATGTTGGCCAGTCTGGTATCAAACTCCTGACCTCAGGTGATCCATCCTCCTTGGCCTCCCAAAGAGCTGGGATTACAGATGTGAGCCACCACACCTGGCCACAGGATTTGTCTTTTTGTGCCTGGCTCATTTCACTGAGCACAGTGTCCTCAGGGTCCATCAGCGCTGTAGCACGTGTCAGAACGTCCCTCGTTTCTAAGACTGAATAGTATTCTGTGCTATATAATGCATAGACACCACCTGTGCATTATCTGTCACTGGGCATTTGGGTTGCTTCCACCTTTTGACTGTTGTGGATAATGCTGCTACCGTTATGAGGGGACAGATGTCTCTTGGAGACTCTGCTTTGGATTCTCTCGGATATATACCCAGAAGTGGAGTTGCTGAAACATACGGTAATCCTACTTTTAATTTCTGAAGAGCCTCCAGTTTTCCACAGCAGTTGCACCATTTTAGGCCTTTTGAACCCCTGCATTTGTGCCTTCCTCTCTTGATTGACTCTTGGTACATCTGTAAGGTGTCACTGTCCCTGATGACAAAAGAGGGAACTGAGGCCAGATTTATCCAAAGCTGTCCAGCAACCTGCTGGCAGAGCTAAGCCCAGAATCAAGGCCACCTGCCTCCCTGCTGAGACTCAGTCCCCGCCAGACACTGTCACCCTCACCCCCCCAACACACATAGACCCCATGCTGTGGGACTGTGGCCCAGCAAAAAGAAGCCCCACCGAGAGGCAGCCAGAGTTGGGGAGACTCAGAGAGGGAGGGTCTGGATTCCCGGGTGACGTGACTGGCAGGATCAGGGTCTTTCCTTCTGGAGGTCGGGGTTCAGAGGGCCTTTCCCACCTCCAGCTGGGCTCACAAACCCTAGTATTGCAAGGTCTGGGTAGTGAAAAGGAGTGAAGTGAGCTGGGGCATCGCCAGGGTGCGCAGGGCCTGTGCTGAGGTGGAAGGCTGTTCTTCAACCACGTGGGCACGTGGGCCCAGCACAGCTAGCTCTTCTGTTTGTTCAAGATGAACAGAAAGTCTAGTTTTTTATGAGAATTGCCTGATTTTATTTTATTCTATTTTATTTTTTGAGACAGGTTCTCTCACTCTGTTGCCCAGGCTGGAGTGCAGTGGTATGATCATAGCTCACTGTAGCCTCCATCTCCTGGGTTTAAACAATCCTCCTGCCTCAGCCTGAGTATCTGGGACCATCACTCCTGGCTAAGTTTTTTAAAATTATTTTTTGTAAAGATGGAGTCTTGCTATGTTGCCCAGGCTGGTCTCAAACTCCTGGCCTCAAGGGATCCTCCCATGTTGGCCTCCCAAAGTACTGGGATTACAGGTGTGAGCCACTGTGCCCAACTGAAATTGACTGATTTTAAACAAATACTTCTGAACTGGGGCTTCCAGTGTGACGTTTGACTTGGTTTCTCCTTCTCTTCATTTAAGTGAAAGGGGAACAGGGCCCGGGGAAGGTAGAGGGACCTGGGCCTACCTCCTACAGGCCTCAGTTCTCCTGGGGCAGAAACAGGTTCTTGGGGGTGTATGGTCCTCACCCCTGTCCACCGTCAAGCTTCCCGGGACCCTCATCCAGCGGGATCCTGAGAGCTGATGGCACCACCTGCCACTGAAGCCAGCTCCTGCCCTGGTGTCCTGTCTAGCAGGGCCTCAGGGCCATTGTCAATGATGGCAGCAGTGGGCATTGGAACCCACATCTGTTCTGACTCTGGAGTCCTTGCCTCTAACCTCAGCACCGTGTTTCTCTCTGCCCCAGGATCTCCATCCACATGCAAGAGATGGATACTCCTGGGGAGATGCTGGTGACACGCAGGGGCAGCCTTGGACCCAGCCCTGCCACAGAGGCTCCAGCAGCTGCCCAGCCAGGCGAGCAGGGCCCACCTGGGACTGGGCGCTGCCTCCAAGCCCCTGGGACGGAGCCCAGAGAACAGACTCCTGAAGGAGCCAGAGAGCTCTCCCCACTGCAGGAGAGCAGCAGCCCCAGGGGGGCGAAGTCAGAGGAGGATCAAAGGGCTGGGGTTGAGCCTAGCACGAGACCAAGCTTGGCCAGGAGGGACGACGATGACCACGCAGTTGGGGCCCTGGGCCTGCAGCAGGGCAAAGGCCCAGGAGCAGGAAACCCTGAGCCTGAGCAGGACTGTGCAGCCAGGGCTCCAGGGAGAGCCGAAGCAGTAAGGAGGATGCCCCCAGGCGTCGAGGCTGGCAGCGTGGTTCTGGGTAAGTGGGGCTGTTGGCTGGTTAGACATGAGCCCTGAGGGGAGGGAGTTTGGAGCCCCTACTCCTGGGGAGTCTTCCTGAAACTTCCAGGGGCAGCTCATATGAGTCTGGGAGCGTCCAAGAGTCAGGAACATCTCCAGGTACGTCCTGGGGCTGGAGACCAAGGCACAGAGATGTGGGGCCTGAACTTGGGCTGGCTGCAGGGGTAAGGGAGAGGGGACATGTGTGGCCCACCTGGGTACATTTCCCTTTTTTGGAGACAGGGTCTTGCTCTGTTGCCCAGGCTGGAGTCCAGTGGCACGATCATAGTTCCTTGCAGGCTTGACCTGGGTTCAAGTGATCCTCCAGCCTCGGCCTCCCAGAGCTTTGGGATTGCAGGCATGAGCCACTGTGGCTGGCCACTGGGGAGGATTCTTACCGCCACCTGCCTGCCTGCGCTTGCCTCCATGAGTCTCATTTTGGATAGAGAGAGAGAAGGCTTCTGTTAAAAAGCAAAGACATGAATTGGAGTATGTGACCACTGTCAGCGGTTCCCACCCACCCAGGCTAGTGACCCAGGGTGTGTTCTTGTGACCTAAAAGCCCTCAACCCCTCCAGCCCTAGGGTCACACCCTCTTGGTCTGAGAATTGTCCACGGACCGCTCTCAGAGTTCCCGGTAGTCGGAGAGCAGGCAGAGTGCTCCCGTGGCGAGCCCTGAACAAACAAACGCCAGCCGAGCCAGCCGAGCCGACTTCCTTCCAGCCCTTGATGCACAACCGGTTCACACCACTGCACTTGCTGTGTGTTCTAGATTCTGTTTTATTCATTTAGTCTATTTCCTGTAAGATTTCTAGGTATTCATATCACCTCTGAAGGACAAGATTAAAATAAAACAACCCTAAACCATTAAAAAACAAACAAGCAAACAAACCTTTCCAAGTGCTGGCTGTCCTCTATTTCCCTTGCAGACAGATACCCTGTCGACCCCCTCCCCAGTCCTGTGCCCCGGGGCCTGCCCCCTGGCTCCATCACGGGCTGTCATGCTGAGCTTCTGGTTGGGCTCAGCTGGCAGGAGATGGAGGGCGAGAGGAGAGAGGGTGGATGTTTATTTCTCCAGCTGCCTCCCTCTCATAATACCAGCGCGTTTCCACAGCCCTGACTTTACAGGCCCTTTAAAAATAGTGGCGTCACTAACTGCCCCATCACCTTGTCCACGTGGGCCCTCTGTTTCCTGCGGGCCACACAGATCCACTAGGATCCCCTTCTAGACATCATGAACAGACTGGATAGAACTTCTCAGCCTTGCCAAGGGCACTGTCCTGGGTGCTGGGAGACCCGGGTTTGAGTGTCGTCTGTCACGGGCTCCCTGTGTGACCTCGGTGGTCACCTCACCTCTCTGACACTCAGCTCCCTTCTCTGCCGAATGGATGGCTCTACCGAGATGGTTTGGAGAAAAGGTTTCAAATACCAGGGTTGGCCGTAGGGCCTGGTGGACCAAGGGAAGCTAAGTGGGTCTGGCATAGGTGACCGAGAGGTGTGGGCTGCACAGAGGAGGCTCACGGGTTCCTGTTGCCTCCCGAGCAGATGACAGTCCGGCCCCGCCAGCTCCTTTTGAACACCGGGTAGTAAGCGTCAAGGAGACCTCCATCTCGGCAGATTACGAGGTGTGCCAGCACGAAGTCTTGGGAGGGTAGGTGGGCATCTGCCTTGGTGGGGGGGGGGCTCAGAGCAGGAGTCACGGGGTGGGGTCGGGACCACCTGGAGAACTGGGGTGGGTGCCGCAGGATGACTCTCTCGAGCTAATGGAGCCCAGGCTGGCGTGGGACATCCCGTACGGTGTGGGGTGCATGACGGCCCACAGAGTGGGGGAAAGAGAATAGCCTGAGAGGACAGGAGAGCCCACGTGGCGTCGGGGAGGGGAGGCTCGGGAGGGCAGGCACCCTATGGGTATGGGAGGCACAGCCTGGAGGTGGCCAGAGAGCCAACATGGGGTGGGGTGAGGAGAATTCTTTAGGGTGGATAGCCCAGGTGGTGTGGGGTGAGGGGATGTTCCCTGGGGTGTGGAATGGTCTGGGTGGTGTGGGGTGAGGGGATGTTCCCTGGGGTGTGGAATGGTCTGGGTGGTGTGGGGTGAGGGGATGTTCCCTGGGGTGCAGGATGGCCTGGGTGGTGTGGGGTGAAGAGTTGCTTTGCAGGTTTCAGGATAGTCAGCAGGGTTTTGGGGTGATGACAGGCTGCACTCTGGGATGTAAGATGGTCCACATGACCTGTGTGTGGAGGAGTTGGACCCAGAAGTCCGGGGGATGGGTGTGGGATGAGCCTCTGGGCTCTCAGCCTGCCGTGTGGCTGTGTCTCTGCAGGGGCCGGTTTGGCCAGGTCCACAGGTGCACAGAGAAGTCCACAGGCCTCCCACTGGCTGCCAAGATCATCAAAGTGAAGAGCGCCAAGGACCGGGTGAGGCATCTGCCTGGGCCAGTTCCCTATGGCTAGCCTCAGGATTCCTTTCCTTCCCTCAGGGCCCCCAGGCTCCCATGCTGCGCTGGAAACGCTACTTATTCCTGCTCTTTTCCAGGATTCCCACCCTCCAGTCAGCTCTCCTGTCCTTGTTGGGCCTTAGGTTTCCTGTCTGTGAGATGAGTGGGTCACACTCAGGCCCTTTGTGTTGTAGAATCTGGTTTGGGTGTTGAGTCAGGGAGACCTGGTGTGAGAATAGGAAACTGAGGAAGGATGAGGAGTTCTGTGTCTGTGTTGGGAGGTCAGCTGGCTCCTCCTCCTGACTCATTCGCTTGGAAATCCCTCTGTCCTCTGGTTCCCCTAAGGAGGATGTGAAGAACGAGATCAACATCATGAACCAGCTTAGCCACGTGAACCTGATCCAGCTCTATGATGCCTTCGAGAGCAAGCACAGCTGCACCCTCGTCATGGAGTAGTGAGTATCAGAGGCGGGGCGGCCGCCTCGGCTCAAGCCAGGACTCAGCGCTAGGGGCTTAGAGCCTTAATTCAAGGCAAAGCCCTCTCTGTCCTTTCCCCTTCCTGGCATGTCCAGGGTCGTGTCATCCTGTCTTCTCTGGCTTGGCTATTTGACCTCCAATATGGAATGTGGAGGACAAAGCAACTTCCTCACAAACCAGTGGCCAGTGAGCCTGATTTGACCTGCAGGTGTACGTATGTTGATTGGCCTATACTATTTTTAGTAATTTTTTGAAAATTAAATTGAAATTTTTTTTTAGAGACAAGGTCTTACTCTGTTGCCCAGGCTGGAGTGCAGTGGTGTGATCACAGCTCACTGCAGCCTTGAACTTCCAGACTCCAGTGATCCTCCCACCTCAGCCTTCCATGAAGCTGTGACCACAGGCATGTGCCACCATGCCCAGCTAATTTTAAAAATTTTTGTAGAGATGAGGTCTTGCTATGTTGCCCAGGCTGGTCTTGAACTCCTGAACTCAAGCAATCCTCCTGCCTCAGCTTCCCAAAATGCTGGCATTACAAGTGTGAGCCACCACACTCTGCCTATTTTTAGTAATGTGGGATTCGTTGTTAACCATTGGAAATTAGGATCTTCACATTAAAACCTAGATATCTGGCTTTTCTCGAAAACGTAAAAGATGTTGTAAATGCCGGGCCTGCCTTTCCAAGTGGAAATGATGTGTGGGAGCTTCCGGGGACTGCCGTTTGTAGACAGGGTGACCAGGCTTCCTCTGCCACAATCCCCAGCACTCCCAACCGCCCCAGTGCTGGGGCCAAGGACTCAGAGGCCATTCATATTTGCATTTGTGTTGCTGTTTTCCTTCGGGGCACAGCTGAAGAGAATAAAGCGTTTGTCATGTCATGTCCTTATCGAAAGTGGAAAAACAAAAAATAAGTGAAAGACTGTGTGTCTTCAGAACATGTTTGCTTCACGGATGGCCTCATTGGTCCATTTAGGCTTATGCCACAAAGGTCCGAGTTGGCCTCCATAGGCGAATGAGTTCGCGGCCCTGGTCAGGACCATCTAGAGTGTGCCTGGATCATCAACACTGATGGCCATCCCTTCTTCCCTTTGATCTGTCACTTCCTTTTTACCACCCCTAATCTTTGCTGGGAGTGGACTGGAGCAAAGGTCCCAGTAAAACCCCAGTGGCAGGCCTGGTATGGTGACTCACGCCTGTAATCCCAGCACTTTGGGAGGCTGAGGCGGGCAGATCACCTGAGATCAGGAGTTCAAGACAAGCCTGACCAACACGGTGAAACCCTGTTTCTATGAAAAAATACAAAAATTAGCTGAGTGTGGTGGTGAGCACCTATAATCCCAACTTCTCAGAAGGCTGAGGCAGGAGAATCACTTGAACCCAGGAGACGCAGGTTGCAGTGAGCAGAGATTGCGCCACTGCACTCTAGCCTGGGCGACAGGGTGAGACTCTGTCTAAAAACAAAACACGCAAAAAACCCAATGGCAATGGCAGCAGCCCTGTGACCCATGAGGTGTGACAGTGGGCCTACCCAGGCTGGCCTCTTTTGGCCCCGTGATGACAGTGGACAAGCCCTGAAGAGCCTTGCTCAGGCTGGTACCTGCCTCTCCCTTTGCTCTGGCAGCGTGGACGGGGGTGAGCTCTTCGACCGGATCACAGATGAGAAGTACCACCTGACCGAACTGGATGTGGTCCTGTTCACCAGGCAGATCTGTGAGGGCGTGCATTACCTGCACCAGCACTACATCCTGCACCTGGACCTCAAGGTGGGTTCTGCCCTGGGCATGCGGTAGGGGCCCCTGATGCCCTAGCCCTTGGCGTGCTCTCACCATTGAGAGCTCTGTCCACAGACAGCCCCAGCTTCCATTCCTGGCTCTCTGTCATTTTGTAGTTCTGGAGTCTGGACAGGCCACTCTTGCTGCCTCTTTGGGCTGTAGTTCTTCCATCTGGATAATTGTACCTCTTTAAGTATTATTTGAAGATTAAGTGAAACAATGAGCTTTTCTTCTTTAAAAATACCTTTAAGATTAGTTTTTTTAAAAGATCAAAAGGGAACATAGGCTTTTGGTAACAAATATAGACAGCAGAATAGTGTGTAAAATACACAGTGAAAGTTCCTCCCACCAGGCCTCCCTGCTGAGGGGACTTCTCTGTGAGCAAGCTGGCATGACTCACACACACACAAAAGGAGATCCTACAATGCATTCCTCTCTCTCTCTCTTTCTCTCTTTCTTTCTGACTTTCTTTCTCTTTCTCTCTCTCTCTCTCCTCTCTCCTCTCTTTTTTTTGGAGACAGGGCCTCTCTCTGTTGCCCAGGCTGGAGTGCAGTGGTGCCATCATAGCTCACTGCAGCCTCGACCTCCCAGGCTTAAGTGATCCTCAGTCTCCCAAGTAGCTAGGACTACAGGTGCGTGCCACCAAACTTGGCTAATTTTTCTATTTTTTATAGAGAGAAGGATTCACCATGTTGCCCAGGTTGGTCTTAAACTCCTGGACTCAGGCAATCCTGCCTTAGCCTCCCAAAGTGCTGGGATTACAGGCGTGAGCCACCACATCTGGCCCACATCTTGTTTTTAATGTTGCTTTTGTTAGTCATACAGTATAGACATCTTTCCTCATTCTCTGTAAGAGCTGTGTGATACTCTATGGAGTGAATACACTTTTGAATTCCACTATTTTGTCTCCTAGGAGTGTCCTGGGAGTGTCAGGTACATAACACCCTGGGCACGGTGCCTGACTGATAGCAATCACTTGAGACATGGTGGGAGTTTCTGTGATTTTCCACTCCTCTGGGCCAAAAGGAGGGTGTTTCTTTACAACTCATTTCAGGAAGGGGGTGAATGTCGGTGGCTCCCCACAGAAGAAGGCCGGTGGGTTGGCTGCATCTGTGAGGATTCACATTGCCCCTTCTGACCGTCTTTCCTTGTGGACATCAGACTGTAAGGTGGGGTGCTTGGAAAGTTGGTAGGGGTGAGGAGATTGGCCTCAGGCCCCTTTTGCTCATTAGAGCTCATCCCAAGCCTCCTGCACCAGCTGCTCTGCGGTGGGCAGCCAGGAAAAGCTCAGGAACCTGCCCTGTGATTCTGGGGCAAGGACCAGCCTTTGGGGCACCGCCTGTGGCTGCAGCAGAGAGGAGATCGCTGCTGAGGCTGTTTCTCTCAGCTAACACTATAGTTTGTAGTAGGAGACTGAATGTTTTCTCCTTAAAATCAGGAATAAGACAAGGATATCTGTTCTTGCCACTTGTATTAAAGGGGCTGTGGGGGTTTAGCCCCTTCTGATTGTGAGACTTGGGGTAAGTTCTTTAAACTCATCAATTGTGAAATAGAGAAACATAATACCTACCTCTTGGGGTGTTGTGTGGATTAAATATAGAGAAAGAGCTCTGGAACTGCACTGTCCAAGACAATAGCCACAAGCCACATGGGGCCACTAAACACTTGAAATGTAGCTAGTATGACTAACCAAACTTTACATTTTATTAATTTAAATTAATAAACTGACCCTTGATGCAGTTATTGGAAAACTATTAGTATGTTTGGAACAATTTGGATATATGAATTTACTTTTCAACTCTAAATTTCTTGAAATCTAAATACAGATAAAATATTTCTGGGCTGGGCGCGGTGGCTCACGCCTGTAATCCCAGCACTTTGGGAGGCCGGGGTGGGGGGACCACGAGGTCAGGAGATCGAGACCATCCTGGCTAACATGGTGAAACCTTGTCTCTACGAAAAATACAAAAACAAAATTAGCCGGGCATGGTGGCAGGAGCCTGTAGTCCCAGCTACTCAGGAGGCTGAGGTGGGAGAATGGCGTGAACCCAGGAGGCGGAGCTTGCAGTGAGCTGAGCTTGTGTCACTGCACTCCAGCCTGGGAAACAGAGTGAGACTTGTCTCAAAAAAAAAAAAAAAAAAAAATTCTGATGAAAACTTAAGGTCTGAATTGAGATACACTGTAGATGTAAAATATACACTGGATTTCAAATGGATTTCAAAGACAATATGAAAAAGAATGGACACAATTGCATCAGTATTTAGACATGATACTATTTTGGATATATCCAGTTAAATAAAATATATTATTAGTCTGTAATCCCAGCACTTTAGGGGGCCAAGACAGGAGGATTTCTTGAAGCCAGGAGTTTGAGACTAGCCTGGGCAGCATAGTGAGACCCTGTCTTTAAAAAACAAAATTATTTTTAGTTAGCCATGTCTGTAGTCCTAGTTACTTGGGAGGCTGAGGCAGGAGGATTGCTTAAGCCCAGAAGTTGGAGGCTATAGTGAGGTATGATTGTGCCACTGCACTCCAGCCTGGGCAATAGAGCAGGACCCCGTTTCAAAGGGGGAAAAAAGACACTAGAAAAAGAACAGCAAGTTCTTTGAGTCTGATTGACTCAAAGCAATCAGAATGAGGGAAATAAAAATTGGAGCATAAAAAACAGAAAAAAATAGAGAAAATCATTAAAACCAAAGTTAGTTCTTTAGAAAGATCAATAAATTGGCAAATATTTAGCTATACTAACCAAGAGAAAGAGAAGATGCAAGTGACTAAAATCAGGAATAAAAGAGGAGACATTACTACTGGTCTTACAGAAATAAAAAAGGATTATAAAGAAATATGATAAAAAATTGTATGCCAATAAGTCAGAGCACCTAGAAGAAATGGACAAATTTCTAGGAAGACACCAACTAGTGAAACTGGCTCAAGAAGAAATAGAAAATCTGAATAGACCTATAGCAATTAGAGATTGAATTAGTAACCAAAAACTATCCACAAAGCAAAGCCCAGGCCCATATGGCTTCACTGGTGAATTATACCAAATGTTTGTTTGTTTGTTTGTTTGTTTTGAGGCCAAAGCAGGTGGATCACCTGAGGTCTGGAGTTTGAGACCAGCCTGACCAACATGGAGAAGCCCCGTCGCTACTAAAAATACAAAATTATCTGGGTGTCGTGGCACATGCCTGTAATCCCAGCTACTTGGGAGGCTGAGGCAGGAGAATCACTTGAACCCGGGAGGCAGAGGTTGCAGTGAGCAGAGATCAAAGCACTCACTGCATTCCAGCCTGGGTGACAAGAGTGAAACCGTATCTCAAAAAAAAAAAAAAAAAAAAGCATTAGCTAGGATATGGGAAAATTGGAACCCTCATACATTGCTGGTGGGTTGTAAAATGTGCATTCACTTTTTAAAAAGTTTGGCAGTTCCTAAAAATGCTAAACATAGAATTACCATATAACCCAGCAATTTTACTCCTAGGTATACCCCTAAGAGAATTAAAACATAAGTTGACACAAAAACTTGTACACAAATGTTTTTAGCAGCATTATTTATAATAGCCAGAAGTGTAAACAACCCAAATGTTCATTAATTTTATTAGTTAATGGATAAACAAAATATGGTCTAATCCATACAATGGAATATTATTTAGCCATGAAAAGGAATGAAGTGCTGATACCTGCTACACAACATGGATAAACCTTGAAAACATTCTGGTAAGTGAAATAAATCAGACACAAAAGGCCATATGTTTTATGATTCTGTTTATATGAAATGTCCAGAATAGGCAAATCCGCAGAGAAAGAGGACATTAATGATTGCCATGGCATGGGAAGTGAGGGGAGAATGGACAGGGACTGATGATGGGTATGGGTTTGTTTTTTTTTTTTTGAAGTGATGAAAATGTTCCAAAGTTACATAGTGATATCATTGCACAACTCTGTGAATATACTAAAAATCAATGAATTGCACACTTTAAAATGGTGAGTTCTGGATGGGTGAGGTGGTTCACACCTGTAATCCCAGTACTTTGGAAGGCCGAGGCAGTCTGATCACCTGAGGTCAGGAGTTTGAGACCAGCCTGGCCAACATGGTGAAACCTGTCTCAACTAAAAATACAAACAAATTAGCTGGGCGTGGTGGCCCACGCCTGTAATCCTAGCTACTCAGGAGGCTGAGGCAGGAGAATAACTTGAACCCGGGAGGCGGAGATTGCAGTGAGCCGAGATTGTGTCACTGCACTCCAGCCTGGGCGACAAGAGTGAAACACTATCCCCACCCCCACCCCAAAAAAGGTGAGTTTTATGGAAAAAATCAGTATTATTTGTATTACTTAAAATGTTATAAAATTTAAGTTCACCTGTTTCTTTTGACCCTTTTAAATGTGCATACTAGAAAACTTTAAATTACTATATATGTGGCTTGTGTTATATTTTTATCAGATAGTGTTATTCTAGATCCTATATAGAAGACATAGAGATTTTTAAACACCACTCTCTCACACCTTTCTGAAGGAATTGTACAACCCCATTGTAACATAAGTAAGAGTGAAAGCTTCTGTTGGGAGAAACAGTAGCTGACATTTGCTTTGGAAGCTGTAAAGTGTTTCATGCATGTTATGTCATTTTATCCTCACACCCTCCTGAGGGGCAGACAGGAAGAGGTTATTACTCCCGTTTTACATATGGAGACATTGAGTCTTCAGGAATGGAGAGGGACTCATCTAGGGCTACAGAACCAGGTAATGAGCCCCTAGGCCTCAGGCACTAGACCCTAGGTCTGCAAAGTCCTGTCTGTCATAAGCCCTACATCTTCATTCAGCTTCTCTCCCCAAACCCCCAACACACTTACCCCCAAATTTGTCATGCATGAGCAGAGAGCATCCTTCCAGACTCCCTCAGGGCCTCAGAGCTGATCCAAATGCCATAAGAGGGGAGGCGTGCCAAGGCTGCCACCCTCATGCCATGGGCCACAGCTGTCACTGCAGAGTGGCAGGTGGACATTCAGCAGCTCTGCTCTCCTTAACCAACCAGTGATGCTTTGGTGTTACCCCAGAGATTCTGATGTAATTGGTCAGGGTTGAGGCCCGGGCACTGGGATTTTTTCTTTTTCTTTTTTTAATTCTCTTAGCATTCCAGTATAACATTGGGATTCTAAAAGCTCCCCTGATGATTCCAACATACAGCCAGGGTTGGGAACCCACCCCCAAACCAGTAGTTCCATACAAGCAGTTCATGGGCCAATTATACCTCACAGAGGTATTCTGTTGGGCTCTGAGATGTGAATTTAGATTTCATTTAGTTGTTAACATTTAAAAGCATGGAATTTTCACATAAAAACCTGAATTCCTAGCTGGGCATGGTGGCTCATACCTGTATGCTCAGCACTTTGGGAGGCTGAGGCTGGAGGATCTCTTGAGCTCAGGAATTCGAGACAAACCTGGGCAACATGGTGAGACCCCACCTCTGTTCTTTTAATTAAAAACAAAACTGACCAAAACAACAACAACAACAACAACAACAACAACAACAAAAATCCCTGAATTCTCGGCTTCTCTTGAGGACTGAGAAACTCTGGCGTTGTGCCTACACTCCTACATGGTGACCAGTGTCTGGGACTGGGTAGTGCTGTCCCTTTACACAGGCTGGGAGCCTCCAGTTCCCCACAGTCCACTCCAATCCTTATTGTCTTGCCAGTCCCTTCATGTATTTTCTTTATCTATCCAGCCCTTGCAGGGCTGCCCTGAGCCATTTATGTCCCTTGAAGGCTGGAAAACAGAGGCCTATAGACAAGTGTGGCAGCTGCAGACCTCCTCAGCTATTGCTTGGGCTAAGCAGACTTCTTTCTTTCCCAGCCGGAGAACATATTGTGCGTCAATCAGACAGGACATCAAATTAAGATCATTGACTTCGGGCTGGCCAGAAGGTAAGGGGTTTTTACTTAGATACCTTAACAAAATTCCTTGGGACTCTTTGTGGCTCTCTAGGTATGGTTACTCCTGACCCAGCTAATGCTTGAGTTTTGGAACTGATGCAAGAAAGCTCTTGTGCACAGAGCTGGTGGCCTTTGACTTGCAGACAGGCCTTGTTGCTCTTGCATGGGCTGGCTTTGTGTTGTGGGCTCTGCTTCTTCCTAAAAGGCTGTGGAATTAACTGAACTTCACTCCACCTATCTGAGAAAAGAGGACAGTGATGGTGAAGGGGGCTGTTGATCGAGGTGCTGGGCTGCTCAGTTCTGTGGGTTCCCCAGGCCTCCTGGGGCCAGGAGGTGCTGGGCTATGTGATGCATCTGCCGCCATCCCTGCCCTCCAAGAAATGACCAGGTTAAATACAAAAAGCGAGCATGTGACGGTGTTGGGTGGCGCCATGGGTAGGTGTTTCTGTAACCTCTCAGGACTGGTTTAGATCTTGGTGAAATGGTGATGTAATACATTACCTGCTGGCATGGGGATGGTTATGAGCGTTAAATGAGAAAATACACAGACAATGTGGACCCATCCTATCCGGGAGGTTAGGTTCTCAAGTTTCAGGGCATAAAGTAAACATTGTAAGCCCAGCACAGTGGCTAACGCCTATAATCCCAACACTTTTGGGAGGCCAAGGAGGGAGGATCTCTTGACCCCAGGAATTCAAGACCAGCCTGGGCAACATAGCAAGACCTCATCTCTACAAAAAATACAAAAATTAGCCCAGCATGGTGGTGAGCACCTGTAGTCTCAGCAACTTGGGAGGCTGAGGTGGGAGGATCACTTGAGCCTGCAGTGAGCCAAAATCACACCATTACACTCCAGTCTGGGCAGTAGAGCTAGACCCTGTCTAAAAATAAATAAATAATAAAGTAAACATTGTATATTTATTATTATTATTATTATTATTATTATTATTATTTTGAGATGGAGTCTTACTCTGTTGCCCAGGCTGGAGTGCAGTGGTGCAATCTCTGTTCACTACAACCTCTGCCTCCCGGATTCCAGCAATTCACCTGCCTTAGCCTCCCAAGTAGCTGAGATTACAGGCACCCGCCACCACACATGGCTAATTTTTGTATTTTTAGTAGAAATGGGGTTTCACTAAGTGGGCCAGACTGGTCTCAAACTCCTGACCTCAAGTGTTCCTCCTGCCGCAGACTCCCAAAGTGTTAGGATTACAGGCCTGAGCCACCATATCAGGCCCATTGTATACGATGTTAAAAATCTCATAGTCTCTTAAAATACCTGAAGGCTAGTGCAGTGTGGCTAATATTGCTGTGTAGCCCAGGGATGCCACACTACCCATGGCACCACCCAACACTGTCACATACTCACTTTTTGTATTTAAACTGGTCATTTCCTGGAGGGCAGGGGTGGTGGCAGATGCATCACATAGCCCAGCACGCCCTGACGCCAGGAGGCCTGGGGAGCCCACAGAACTGAGCAGCCCAGCACCCTGCTCAGCGGCCCCCTTCACCATCACCCTACTCTCTTCACAGATAGGTGCTGTGAAGTCCAGTCACGTGTGCTGAATACTGTGCGCCTGGAGAGCTCCTGCCCATGGCATGCATGCCCAGGGGTGTGGGTTCTTGGCAGTGGTAGTAGCAGACCCTTGGCATTTGGGAAGGCTTCCCCTAAACCTTCAGACATCCGCAGTTCGTAAACATGGCAGAAACATGGCAGTAGTTGTATGCCCAGCTTCCAGGATTCCTCCAGGATTCTGTTGCCTCCAAGAATGACATTTCTCTGGGAATCACATATCTTTTTTTCTTTTTTTTTTCTGAGACCGAATCTCATGCTCTCACCCAGGCTGGAGTGCAGTGGCACAATCTCGTCTCACTGCAACCTCCGTCTCCTGGATTCAAGCAATTCTCCTGCCTCAGCCTTCCAAGTAGCTGGGGTTACAGGTGCCCGCCACCATGCCCAGCTAATTTTTGTATTTTTAGTAGAGATGTGGTTTCATCACGTTGGCCAGGATGGTCTCGATCTCTTGACGTCATGATCCGCCTGCCTGACCTCCCAAAGTGTTGGGATTACAGGCATGAGCCACCATGGCAGGCCAAATCACATATCTTCTAGGTAGGTCTTTCAGCTACAGCTAAATTTTCAACTCTTCTGGAAGCTGCTTCTCTTTCCTAATGGCTGGCTGTTTTCTTTTTCTTCTTCTTCTTCTTTTTTTTTTTTTTTTTTTTGAGACGGAGTCTCGCTCTGTCACCCAGGCTGGAGTGCAGTGGCCGGATCTCAGCTCACTGCAAGCTCCGCCTCCCGGGTTCATGCCATTCTCCTGCCTCAGCCTCCTGAGTAGCTGGGACTACAGGCGCCTGCCACCTCGCCCGGCTAAGTTTTTGTATTTTTAGTAGAGACAGGATGGTCTCAATCTCCTGACCTCGTGATCCGCCCGTCTCGGCCTCCCAAAGTGCTGGGATTACAGGCTTGAGCCACCGCGCCCGGCCCTTTTTTTTTGGACAGAGTCTCTCTCTGTCACCCAGGCTGGAGTGCAGTGGCGCAACCTCAGCTCACTGCAACCTCTGCCTCCTGGGTTCAAACAATTTTCCTGCCTCAGCCTCCCGAGTAGCTGGAACTACAGGTGCCCGCCACCACGCCTGGCTAATTTTTGTATTTTTAGTAGAAACAGGGTTTCACCATGTTGGCCAGGCTAGTCTTGAACTCATGACTTCAAGTGATCTGCCCACCTCAGCCTCCCAAAGTGCTGGGATTACAGGCATGAGCCACCACGCCGTGCCCTCCACCACATCCACGAGTGGAAGGAAACAGAGCATCGCCCCTGGATGCAGAGCCGCGTGCCTGAGCTCAGCTCTGCCTTCCAGCACCTGCCTCCCAAGCAGCATCCACACCCTCAGTGCTGGTTTTCCTGGTCACTCCTCCACTGGTTGAAGTGTAAACGTTACCCATTTGCAGTGTGATGATGCATTTTCAGTGCCCCATGTGCTGCTAGTGTAAATGCGGGAGGAAGTTCACATCATCCCACGAGGCCTTCAGGGTCTCTATCACACAGTGTATTGTAGTTCATAAACAGAAAAAAATCACATGCAATCTACCATGTTAGCAAGTTGCTTAGTATTTTCCCTGATAATATGCTATAAAATTCAGATGCCTCCCACACGCTTGCATGTCGTATACACTAGGGCAGTGTTTCTCAACCTATTTCATTATCGCTACCTGCCCTGTAGTGAGCCCTTTTTGACTTTATTTCCCCAATCGCCTAGTCCCCCAATGCCATGAAATTTAATACCACTGATGTACCATGTATCTGTTTATGTGCTGTGGCCCTTTGGAGAGCCACAAACCATTGTAATAGCTAAGACTGTTTTGTCCCCCAAGAACCAATATTTGTCCCCCACGGGGCAATATTGTCTTCACTGAGAATGCACACGCTGGTGTATGCAGTACACTCTCAAATACCTGATGGTCCGCTGCCAAATGAGCATGTGCAGGGACACATTGTGAACACCGAGAAAGAAGCAACCACTGGACGCCCCTGGAGTCAGGGAAGGCTTTTCTGAGCAGTCGGCAGGGACTGGTGGACAGGATTTGCTGTCTGCAGGCAATGCTGCTATGCTGGCAAATGCTTCAGCACCAGCCCTGAGGGAGTGGGGAGTGAGAGGGGATGGGTTTGATTTGTAATCTTTGCCAGTGTTTGCTAATTACAAGCTACCAAGATGATATCACTGAAGGCGGAGCTGGAAGGAGAGGCACTCAGGTCTCCCATGCACCTGAGAGCCAGCTCTAGTGTAGCACTACCTGGAGGGGAGGTGGGGGGGCCCTGTGAGTTGTGGGCTGAGAACAGGGTGCACCCTGTATGTGCAGGCCGGTCGGGGGAAAATACAGTCGAAGATGAGGGCACTAATGGCGAATCCTGAATGCGGGGCTCACACGTCTGAACATTATCCTATAGGCCAGAGTCTTACCTGGTGGGGAGGTGAAAAGGGCTGTAGGTCAATTTACCAAAACTTAGTCAAACCAAAAACCTCCATGCCGAGTGGCTGTTTGGGGAAAAGCTCTCAAATTGTATTTCCTCTGCTCTCACACCACAGCAAACAACACTGAAGACTTCTGTGATCAAAAGCGGGCAGGTGGGTTCCCCACCAGTGAGCAGCGGATGCCAGCTGGGTGTCCTGCAGTTCAGTTCTGACATCCCCTACCGGGAGATAGCGTCAGATCCCACAGGTTGAGGGCTCAGTCCTCAAGGATACCCCCTCTTCCCCCAGTCACTGGTCACAAGTGCAGGCCTCTGGAGCTTCTGATGGAATGTCTTAATGTTGGGGTTCCCACGACCCCCTCTTTGGGTTTGCTTAATTTGCCGGAATGGCTCAAAGAACTCAAGGAAACACTTACTTACATTTACCTGTTTATATTACAAAGAATACAGGTGAAGAGGGACATAGGGCGAGGTATGGGGAAAGGGGCATGGAGCTTCCATGCCTTCCCTGAGTGTCCCCTCTCCAGGAATCTCCCCGTTTTCAGCCCTTGGGAAGCTCTCCAACCCTGTCCTTTTGGGGTTTTATGGAGGCATCATTACATAGGCATGATTGACAATGGCACAGAAAGATGATTGGACAAAAAGCCCATGATCTAAACCCAGCAAGGCCTGTCTTTTTCTTAGCCTCTCTGTATTGCATTCCTTCCTTTAGGGTAGGGGGCAGGACACTCTCTAGAATGAGGGTCTTTTGATCCATAGTCAGATTAGAGTCCTGCCTTGGGCAGGTGAAAGAAGGACTGGAGAAGGACACAGAGAGAGAGATTCTCTCCTGAGGCCTAAAGTGTCCCAACATTATAACAAGGACTATGCAAGTTAGAAGCCAGAAAAAAATATATATATATATACACAAACATATATATACATATATATAGATACACAGCCCACATATATATATATGTATCCATATATGTATCTCATAACATGTATCTATCTATCTATCTATCTATCTATCTAACCATCTAGTCCCCTGGCCCAGTCCCTCAACCCCCGCCACCTTGCTGCTCTTTCACTGGATGGGCTTAGCTGTGTTGGCGCTGAGTCATTGTCTGCCTGGCTCTCAGCAAATTTGGAGGAGAGGAGACTGCTCTCTGAAAGCTGATTTAAAGGAAGCAGGGTATATTGGCAGAATATTCATTTTATTTATTTTATTATTGTTATTCTCAATTGCCTCATCTATAAAATGGGGATAATAATCCTACCTATTTCATAGGGCTCTTGGAAGGAGGGAAAGAGATGCCACGCATATATAAAACTTTTAGCATATGCGGGCGGTGGCTCAGCCTGTAACCAGCACTTGGGAGGCGGGGGCGGATCAAAGTCAGGAGATCGAGACCACAGTGAAACCGTCTCTACTAAAAATACAAAAATTAGCCGGCGCGTGGCGGGCCTGTAGTCCAGCTACTCAGGAGGCGAGAGGAGAATGGCGGAACCGGAGGCGGAGTTGCAGTGAGCAGATCGCCCACTGCACTCCAGCTGGGCACAGCTACACTCCGTTCAAAAAAAAAAAAAAAAAAAAAAACTTTTAGCATAGTACCTGGCAAATAAAAAGTGCCCATGAAATTTTAGCTAGAGACTCTTTTTCTTCAAGAGTGATTCTAAAACACAATATTTGCCCCCCTTTCCCACTCAGCCATTGACTCTCTTCCTAGCCTTAAACTTCATGTCCAGAACTTTTTCTAATTTTTTATTTTTGGAATTGTGGTTTAAAAAATACATAACATAAAAGTTATCACCTAGTGTCCGTCAGTGGATAAAGAAACTGGGGTATATATATGCAAATGAATACTGTTCTGCTTCAAAAGAGAAGGGAATCCTGTCATTTGCAGCAACATGGATGACTCTGTAGGGCATTATGTTAGGTGAAATAAACCAGGCTCAGAAAGACAAGTACCACGTGATCTCACTTAGGTGTGGAATCTGAAAAAGACAAACTCTTACAGGCAGAGTTGGATGGTGGTTACCGAAGGCAGGGCAGGTGGCACTGGGGAGATGTCGGCCAAAGGATACAATATTTCAATTAGAAAGGAGGAGTAAATTCAAGAGAGCCATTGTACAACATGGTGATTATAGTTAATAACAATGTATTGTATACTTGAGAATTGCCAAGAGAATAGACTTTAAGTGTTCTCACCATAAAAAATAAGTATGTGAGGTAATACATATGTTAATTAGCTTGATTTAGCCATCCCACAATGTACACATGTATCGAAGCATCATATATACCGGTTGGGTGTAGTGGCTCACACATGTAATCCAGCACTTTGGGAGGCTGAGACAGGTGGAGTTTTTGAGCTCAGGAGTTTGAGACCAGCCCGGGCAACATGGTGAAACTTCATCTCTACAAAAAATACAGAAAATTAGTCAGATGTGGTGGCGTGTGCCTGTAGCCCCAGATACTCAGGAGGCTGAGGTTAGAGAATTGCTTGAGCCTGGGAGGTGGAGGTTGCAGTGAGCTGAGATCTTATCACTGCACTCCAGCGTAGGTGACAGAGTGAGACCCTGTCTCAAAAAAAAAAAAAAAAAAAAGCGTCATATATACCATAAACATGTACAATCAGTACATTCATATTTTTGTGCAACCAATCTACAGAACTTTTTCATCTTGCAAAACTGAGATTCTATATCCATTAAATAATAACTTCCCATTTTCTGCCTGCCCCAACCCCTTCCTTATTTCTGTTTCTATAAATTTGACTACTGACAGAAGCAAACGCCTGGAGGAGGAAGACTGTAGTTTTCTGATTCTATCACTGACTTAGAAAAGCCTGAAGTTTGGGGCCTGGGATCTGAGTATTCCCCAGTAATTCACAAGTGTAGTGTGGGTGTGGGGTCCAGGCCATATGGCTGATGGGAAGTGGGGAATGTCTGCATCCCACCAGAAATGAACCCCAGCATCCACATCTCCCAGGCCTCACCCCATGGTTCTTTGTACCCTCCCTCCTCCCCAGGTACAAGCCTCGAGAGAAGCTGAAGGTGAACTTCGGCACTCCTGAGTTCCTGGCCCCAGAAGTCGTCAACTATGAGTTTGTCTCATTCCCCACGGACATGTGGAGTGTGGGAGTCATCACCTACATGCTGTGAGTGCTTAGCAGCCTGGCTCTGAAATGGGGATGGGGGTCATTTGTCTTCCTTTGGGTAGTCTTAGAAGCAAAATTTTGAGTACAAGTAGTCTATTTGGGAAGTATCCCCAGGAAACCCCAATAGAGGAATAGGGTAGTGAGACGGGGAAGGAAAGGAGCCAGGGAAGGGTATATTATCAAGCCAGTTACCATATTTACAAGGCGGTCGTATTTCCAAGTTATTGTAGTAGGTTAATATTGAAAAAATTGAGATGTGCTGATATTATTCCCTGGAACAAAGGTCTAAAGGCCTGTTTCTTGGTGAGGAAGGCCTACTTGGGCTTCAGCAGCTGTATCAAAGTTATGGGTTGAGCTGGGCACGGTGGCTCATGCCTGTAATCACAGCACTTTGGGAGGCCAAGGTGGGAGGATTACTTGAGCCAAAGAGTTCAAGACCAGCCTGGGCAACACAGAGAGACCCTGTCTACCAAAACCAAAAAAAATTAGCTGGGCATGGTGGTGCGTGCCTGTTGTCCCAGTTACTAAGGAGACTGAGGTGGGAGGATTGCTTGAGCCTGGGAGGTTGAGGCTGCAGTGAGCCATGATCATGCCATTGCATTCCAGCCTGGGTGACAGAGCAAGATCATGTCTCAAAAAAAAAAAAAAAAAAGTTATGGCTTGAGCCATTGAATTTTTTGGTACTGAGACATAAAAGTAATAACTGAAAAAAACAAAAGTATTCATGACTCAGGAGTAAGGCCCAGTTGTGGGCAACTAGAGTTTCATTCTGCTGGGGAACTCCAGAATCCATCATGGAATACCCCCTGAGAGTTATTTCATCTAGGGGAGGGAGTTGGGGTATTTATACACTAACTCTTATCAGTTATTCCATGTGGACTAATGGAGATGGGGTGGAATTGATTTCCTGATACTTCTGGGTGGGGAAAGCAAGCTTCGGCTGGAGAGAAAGCCCTCCAGCAGAGACATGCATGTGCTCTGGTACAAATGGAGCTGGATCATGCCTATAATCCCAGCACTTTGGGAGGCTGTGGCAGGAGGATTGGTTGAGCCCATGAGTTTGAGGCTGCGGTGAGCTATGATTGCACTCCAGCCTGGGTGACAGAATGAGGCCCTGTTTAAAGACAAAACAAAATAAAAACCCAAATGAGGCTGGAGTGCACTGAAGGGGTAAGGGGGTGGGGGGCAGGGCAGGATACCCTTTATGGCATCGTTGAACCCGTGCTCCCTGTTTTCTTCTCTGTCCGGCTGTGGACTTCCCGTGGCTGCTTTCTCAGAGGCAAAGTCATGTTTTGCTTCTGATCTTCTGATTATTGTGTAACTGCTACGCACTGTCCCTGCACTCGGATGTGTGAGCTGCACCAGGCTGGGGAAGTTCAGATCCCTGAGGCTGGCCGTCACGGTATCCTGCTTCTTTTACCCTCCCTCTAGCGGGAGCCTAATAAAGCCCATTCTCTTTTGGCTTGGGGCCTGGGTAGCATCTAAACAAGCCTGGCTGTCTCAAGGACATGGAAGGCTATTTCTATTTCTAAAATTAAATCAATGTGTACTTGATAACTGGGCATATGAAGTAGGGCCCTAATTTTACTCTTTACTTCAGGAATGAGGTGCAAAGAGGTGAGGACAAGAGGGGACTTATTCCAAAAATTCTTCCTGCCTCCAAATTTTAAATCCTTCCGTGTCCTCCCTTTAATGAACACACTGGACCCCATCCTGTGGAGAAGTAGTGGGGGTGCTTTCCTTTTGAACCCTCTTGGTTCTGGCTAGGTCCACTTGAACTCTGTAAGCTTCTCTATTCTGCCAATGCACGTTGGCAAATGTGGCCTCTACCTACTGATGGTCCTTTCTCTTTTCTGTAGACTCAGTGGCTTGTCCCCATTTCTAGGGGAAACAGATGCAGAGACCATGAATTTCATTGTAAACTGTAGCTGGGATTTTGATGCTGACACCTTTGAAGGGCTCTCGGAGGAGGCCAAGGACTTTGTTTCCCGGTTGCTAGTCAAAGAGAAGAGGTACCTTTCATCGCTTGTCACTCATGGGGACCCCAGGTCTGGGAGCTGGGCAGGACTGCTGACTGTGAAGGTCTTTCTTTCTGTGGACAAATTCCTTTCAAGATTTCTTAGTTTGCTACTTCTTTGGAAAAATAAAGGGAACAGAGAAAGGGACAAAGGAAATAAATGAAACAAACAAGTAGGGGCATAAAATACAGTTTTAGAAAGAAGCATATGTAGATTGGTCCTATCTGCAAGTTATCACTTGTCATAGGCTAAGGTTGAAAAAAACCTGAGCTGTGCAGATGTTATTTGCAGAAGAAAGATCTGAATACCTTGTTTCTTGGTGAAGAAGATCTATTTAGGCTTCAGCATCTGTATCAAAGTCATGGGTCAAGCCATGTGAGTTTTTTGATACTCAGAATAAGGTAATAACTGGACATAACCAAAGGTATTAACAACCCAAGGCTAAGGCCTAAGAGTCTGGGCTCTAAGACAGCTTGTGTTTCCCTGACTTTTACAGTTTTGTTTCTTTCTGACTGTGAAAAGTTATGTGAGAGGAAAAAAAAAAATCTAAGTCAGATGAACAAGTTGCCTTCATATTCTGGAAAGAGAAATGAACTTCCTTCAAATTTCCTGTTCTTTTGCTTCTTTAAGAGCAATTCCAGGCATAGCTAGCCTTCCTACTGCCCTGCTTCAACTTCTTAGCCTGCTCTGGGAAGTGGTTCCTCCCAGAATCACTGGAATACGTTCCCGCTATAGAGGTCAGAGAACATTTTGCTGACGACCTTCTGGCACTTTGAAGGAAGGGAATTTTAGACACAAGGAGTTCCCTTTTTTGTACATGGCATGAATCTGCCTAAATGATTAATCTGTTCCACTGACTCAGGCTTCCTACCCAACTGAACAGATTTTTGGATGAGAAAATGCAACTCCAACTAAAAGTCTTAACTGCTGTTTGATTTCACAGCTGCAGAATGAGTGCCACACAGTGCCTGAAACACGAGTGGCTGAATAATTTGCCTGCCAAAGCTTCAAGATCCAAAACTCGTCTCAAATCCCAACTACTGCTGCAGAAATACATAGCTCAAAGAAAATGGAAGGTATTTGGTTTTTCTCTTAGTAAACGTGAAATTTGTCATTCTAATCTGTCCTTTGAAAAAACTGCAGCTAAGTTTTCTTTACTTTTCTTTTTTTCTTATTTTTGGGTTTGTTTTTATAGACAGGGTCTTGCTCTGTTGCCCAGGCTAAAGTATAGTGGCATGATCATGGCTCACTGTAACCTTAAATTCCTGGGTTCAAGCAATCTTCTCACCTCAGCCTCCTAAGTAGCTGGGACTACAGGCATGTACCACCATGCCTTGCTAACTTTTCTATTTTTTGCACAGACAGGGTCTTTTAAGTTGCCTAGGATGGTCTTGAACTCCTGGCCTCAAGCAATCTTCCTGCCTCAGCCTCCCAAAGTGCTGGCATTACAGGCATGAGCCACTGCACCCAGCCTGTAGCCAAATTTTTACTTACATTTTGATTCTAAACAGAAAGATTATTTAGGGGGAAAAATCTCTCTCATGTCAAAAGCTGCTAACTTGATTTAAAAATGTCACAGAGCAAAAATAACTGGCATAAAACTTACATTTGGTTGTGCTTATATGGATACTTGAAGTAACAGAATGAAGCTTAAGCGTATGTTCTCAGTGGCAATCACAGTGAAGCTCCTGAACTAACTTCTTAGAGCTTGAGGCCTGATTCTTCCACATTTTAGAAATGGAAGATAAGAAAGGCCTGTTAAACTTTTAAAACTTTATAATTTTGTTTACAACAGAATTCTTTAGTACCATGGACATAAAACCTATCTTAAAAGCAATTGTGGAAAAGGCCTTTGACAAAATTCAACAGCCCTTCATGCTAAAAACTCTCAATAAATTCGGTATTGATGGAACGTATCTCAAAATAATAAGAGCTATTTATGACAAACCCACAGCCAATATCATACTGAATGGGCAAAAACTGGAAGCATTCCCTTTGAAAACTGGCACAAGACAGGGATGCCCTCTCTCACCATTCCTATTCAACATAGTGTTGGAAGTTCTGGCTAGGGCAATTGGGCAAGAGAAAGAAAGAAAGGGTATTCAGTTAGGAAAAGAAGAAGTCAAATTGTCCCTGTTTGCAGATGACATGATTGTATATTTAGAAAATCCCATTGTCTCAGCCCAAAATCTCTTTAAGCTGATAAGCAACTTCAGCAAAGTCTCAGGATACAAAATCAATGTGCAAAAATCACAAGCATTCTTATACACCAGTAACAGACAAACAGAGAACCAAATCATGAATGAACTCCCATTCACAATAGCTTCAAAGAGAATAAAATACCTAGGAATCCAACTTACAAGGGATGTGAAGGACCTCTTCAAGGAGAACTACAAACCACTGCTCAGTGAAATAAAAGAGGACACAAACAAATGGAAGAACATACCATGCTCATGGATAAGAAGAATCAATATTGTGAAAATGGCCATACTGCCCAAGGTAATTTATAGATTCAATGCCATCCCCATTAAGCTACCAATGAGTTTCTTCACAGAATTAGAAAAAACTGCTTTAAAGTTCATATGGAACCAAAAAAGACCCCGCATTGCCAAGACAATCCTAAGCCAAAAGAACAAAGCTGGAGGTATCACGCTACCTGACTTCAAACTATACTACAAGGCAACAGTAACCCAAATGGCATGGTACTGGTACCAAAACAGAGAAACAGACCAATGGAACAGAACAGAGCCCTCAGAAATAATACCACACATCTACAGCCATCTGATTTTTGACAAACCTGAGAAAAACAAGAAATGGGGAAAGGATTCCCTATTTAATAAATGGTGCTGGGAAAATTGGCTAGCCATAAGTAGAAAGCTGAAACTGGATCCTGTCCTTACTCCTTATACGAAAATTAATTCGAGATGGATTAGAGACTTAAATGTTAGACCAAAAACCATAAAAACCCTAGAAGAAAACCTAGGTAATACCATTCAGGACATAGGCATGGGCAAGGACTTCATGTCTAAAACACCAAAAGCAATGGCAACAAAAGCCAAAATTGACAAATGGGATCTAATTAAACTAAAGAGCTTCTGCACAGCAAAAGAAACTACCATCGGAATGAACAGGCAACTTACAGAATGGGAAAAAATTTTTGCAATCTACTCGTCTGACAAAGGGCTAATATCCAGAACCTATAAAGAACTCAATCAAATTTACAAGAAAAAAACAAACAACCCCATCAAAAAGCGGGCAAAGGATATGAACAGACGCTTCTCAAAAGAAGACATTTGTACAGCCAACAGACGAATGAAAAAATGCTCATCATCACTCGCCATCAGAGAAATGCAAATCAAAACCACAATGAGATACCATCTCACACCAGTTAGAATTGCAATCATTAAAAAATCAGGAAACAACAGGTGCTGGAGAGGATGTGGAGAAATAGGAACACTTTTACACTGTTGGTGGGACTGTAAACTAGTTCAATCATTGTGGAAAACAGTGTGGCGATTCCTCAAGGATCTAGAACTAGAAATACCATTTGACCCAGCCATCCCATTACTGGGGATATACCCAAAGGATTATAAGTCATGCTGCTATAAAGACACATGCACACGTATGTTTATTGTGGCACTATTCACAATAGCAAAGACTTGGAATCAACCCAAATGTCCATCAGTGACAGACTGGATTAAGAAAATGTGGCACATATACACCATGGAATACTATGCAGCCATAAAAAGGATGAGTTCATGTCCTTTGTAGGGACATGGATGCAGCTGGAAATCATAATTCTCAGCAAACTATTGCAAGAACAGAAAACCAAATACCGCATGTTCTCACTCATAGGTGGGAATTGAACAATGAGATCACTTGGACACAGGAAGGGGATCGTCACACACCGGGTCCTATTGTGGGGGGAGGGGGAGGGATAGCATTAGGAGATATACCTAATGTAAATGACAAGTTAATGGGTGCAGCACACCAACATGGCACATGTATACATATGTAACAAACCTGCATGTTGTGCACATGTACCCTAGATCTTAAAGTATAGTTAAAAAAAAAAAAAAAAAAAAAAGCAATTGTAATCCAGGGAAGTGGCTTCCAACAATTTAATATAGACTTAGATCCTCACTGGGGATCCAAAAGCACGAACAAAACCCTTTATGTATGGAGCCAGTACACAAGAATACCTATACGTGTACACACATACCGGGAAAGACACACACACACACAACAAAAATTTGACTCAGGCATGGTGACCTACACCTATAGTCCCAGCTATTCGGGAGGCTGAGTGGGGAGGATCACTTGAATTCAGGAGTTTGAGGCTGCAGTGAGCCATGATCTCGCCAGTGTACTCCAGCCTGGGTGACAGAGTGAGACTCCCATCTCTGTTTTAAAAAAATCACAACATTTTCTCTAACAGAGTATGATGTATTCTGATATTTTCTATTCTGTGCCACTTGGCTTTATTTTTTAAATGCTGTTCACAACCCACCAATTTGATTTCACGACCCATTGCTTGGTTGTGAATCACAATTTGAAAAACACTGTTCTATCAAAGCACGATGTAGGCTGATAAAAAATAAAAATAAGACACTGTTCTAGGGTGCTCCATTTTTAAAATGTGAAAAGGGCAGGATAAGCCTGGGTAACATAGTGGAGACATATCTCTACAAACAAGACAGAAATTAGCTGGGCGTGGTGGCGCTTGCCTGTAGTCCCAGCTACTTGGGAGGCTGAGGTGGGAGGATCGCTTGAACCCAGGAGGTGGAGGTTGCAGTGAGTCAAGATCATGCCACTGCACTCCAGCCTGGGCAACAGAGCCAGACCCCATCCCCACCCCTACCCCTCCTTAAAAAAAAAAGAAAAAAAGGGGGTAGGATGATATATCTTCCCACTTCATATTTACTCCCAACATGCCCCTGAAAGTCATATGATTATTCTATAATTATTTTAGAAACTTGTTTTTCCTTTAGGTGATCAGATTTAAACCAACCCCAGCAGCTGGACTCACTTAAATCCTTTTATTGTTTCTTCATAAAGCAACTGGTCTGAAATATATGCTTTTTCTTTTCTTTTATTCTCTTTGCCTCAAGAAACATTTCTATGTGGTGACTGCTGCCAACAGGTTAAGGAAATTTCCGACTTCTCCCTAACCTTCAACTCTGCTGCTCCAGTGGGTCCAGAAATTACTGAGGCCAGTGGTGAAGTGAAGAGATGACTCGAAAATTTAAATAATTTGGCTTTTTGGTATTATTGATTCCACTTATTTTGTAAAAATGGTTATGGCTGCTGCCTTCCTTGTGGATGAAAAGTGGCTGTAAAGAAGCTTCCTAAGAACGTTTTTTTTCTGCCTTGTAAGATCACTACGTGTGAAATGCTCTGTGTACCTTTCAAATATACCTACTTTTGGTGGTAAGTGTAGGGATGCTTTAGGTGGGTACTTTGCATATGTCGAATTTAAATTCTAAACTCACACTGATTAAATAACTCAGTAGACTACTTTGCAGGGGCCATGTTATTCGTATTATCTCCTCCAGTACAAAGAATTCCTAGAATTTTGATTTGCTCAGGTATGAGCTGACATTTTATTGTACTACCCCATTCTTGTGTCAAGCCATGTGGATTTAGGACAGTGATCTTCAAACTTGCTTTAACTTATGCTCCCTCTTGAGAATCAGCATCACTTGAAATGTCAAAATATGTCAACTCTCATAGCCAAATCGGAGCAGTGATCATTTTGAATGTGTTTTTTAAATCTCCACACACCTGCACCTCTCTGGTAATTCTGCCCTGTCCTAACCCCTCTGTCTTAGTTACAAATTTCTGGTCTTGTAAGACTGGAAGCTGATAGGCCATTTATGAAAGAGATAAGAATGTAATGAGGTTCAGCTTTCTGAGAAAACACAGAAATGATACATCCTGAGACATCAAGGAAAGCGGCTCTTCTGCTGCCTCAGGCTGTAGCACGCTCGATGTTGTCACTCTACACGTACACTTCCTATATACATGTACAGTTGACCCTTGAACAGGGTTTGAACTGCAAGGTCGACTTATACGTGGATTTTCTTCTGCCTTTGCCACCCCTGGGACAGCAACACCATGCTCTCCTCTTCATCCCACTCCGCAGCTTACTCAACAGGAAGATGACGAAGATGAACACCTTTATGATGATTCACTTAATGAATAGTAAATATATGTTCTCCTCCTTATGATTTTAATAACTTTTCTCTAGCTTACTTTATTGTAAGAATACAGTATATAAGCCGGGTGCGGTGGCTCATACCCATAATCCCAGCACTTTGGGAGGCAGGCAGATCACTTGAGGTCAGGAGTTCGAGACCAGCCCGGCCAACACAGTGAAACCCCGTCTCTACTAAAAATACAAAAGTTACTGGGGCGTGGTGGCAGATGCCTATAATGTCGGCTACTCCAGAGGCTGAGGCAGGAGAATTGCTTGAACCCGGGAGGTGGAGTTTGCAGTGAGCCAAGATTGTACCACTGCACTCCAGCCTGGGCAACAGAGCAAGACTCCATCTCAAAAAAAAAAAAAAAAAAAAGACAGTATATGTATATATACACACACATGTGTATGTATGGGTGTTAATTGACTGTTTATATGATTGATAGGGCTTCCAGTCAACAGTAGGCTATTAGTAGTTAAGTTTTTGGGGAGACAAAAGTTATACCCAGATTTTCAACTGCAAGGGGGTAGGGCACTCCTAACCCTCACATTGTTCAAGGGTCCACTGTACATTTAAACACTTTTCTGTATGCATTAGAGTAGCCCTGTGATCCCTTCACTGAAATCACACTGTTCTCAACATGGCAAGCAACTAACACTTTTTTTTTTTTTGAGACAGGGTCTCACTGTGTTGCCCCGGCTGGAGTGCAGTGGCGTGATCTTGGCTCACTGCAGCCTCTGCCTTCTGGGCTCAGGCGATCACGAGTAGCTGGGACTATAGGTGCCCACTGCTACACCCAGCTAATTTTTGTATTTTTAGTGGAGACAGGGTTTTGCCATGTTGCACAACCTGGTCTTGAGGTCAAGCGATCCACCTGCCTCAGCCTCCCAAAGTGCTGGGATTATAGGTGTGAGCCGCCACACCCAGCTTCAACTAACACATTTACAAACTTGTACATATGTATATTTAGATACTTTACCAACTTGCAAAATGGTTAAAAGGAGTACTTTGTTATTTAAAAATACACAATCTTTTAAATTTCCTTACTTCTACATGATTTTTGTGCTATTCCCATTTTTTTTCTCGGGTGAGCAGCTTTAGTTTTTTATTTTATTTTTTTGAGAGAGTCTTCCTCTGTCACCTAGGCTGGAGTGCACTGGTATGTTCTTGGCTCACTGCAACCTCTGCCTCCCAGGTTCAAGTGATCTTGTGCCTCAGCCTTCCAAGTAGCTGGGATTACAGGCATGTGCTGCCACGCCCAGCTAATTTTCGTTTTTTTTTTTTTTTTTTTTTTTTTTTTTGAGGCAGAGTCTCGCTCTGTTGCCCAGGCTGGAGTGCAGTGGCCGGATCTCAGCTCACTGCAAGCTCCGCCTCCCGGGTTCACGCCATTCTCCTGCCTCAGCCTCCCGAGTAGCTGGGACTACAGGTGCCTGCCACCTCGCCTGGCTAGTTTTTTGTATTTTTTTAGTAGAGACGGGGTTTCACCATGTTAGCCAGGATGGTCTCGATCTCCTGACCTCGTGATCTGCCCATCTCGGCCTCCCAAAGTGCTGGGATTACAGGCTTGAGCCACCGCGCCCGGCCCTAATTTTCGTATTTTTAGTAGAGATGGGGTTTTGCCATGTTGGCCAGGCTGGTCTTGAACTCCTGACCTCAGGTGATCCACCTGTCTTGGCCTCCCAAAGAGCTGGGAATATAGGCGTGAGCCACTGTGCTTAGCCTCAGGTGAGCAGCTTTAGTCAATGTTGTGAATTTTAGATTTTAATTAGACATGCAACAGTTTCACCACCTTTCAGGATTTTTGTTCCAAAACAGAGGCTCTTCTTTTTTGATGGAGAGGTAGGCAGGTGGAGAGGTTATCCTGCTGCTGCAGTTCTCAGGTTGTTAAGTTTCCTCTGGAAGGCTAACCCTCGTTGGGAACAGTTTCAGTATCAGCAAGTGTAGGCCTGCTCCAAGTTGGTCAGCTGAAGAATGAACATCAGAAGACACAGCTGCTGGAAGTTGTCCTTTGATGAGACAGTGACAGTGATTTGGTAAAATGTCTTATTTTTTAAATGTCAGTTATCTTTCCTTAAAAGGTTTTTTGAGGGCAGCCTCCAGAAGGAGCTAGAGTGTGTATTTTGTAGTTCTATTGTGGTTCATACCCTCCTTTGGACTTAAGATTCTGGAGAATGCTAGAATCATCTCCCCAGAAAAAGGTAGTTAATTACCATATCTAGAGCAGCACTGCCCAACAAAAATATAGTACAGGCTATACACATAATTAAAACATTTCTAGTAGCTTCTCTAACAAAACTCATTGAAAATCAATTTTAATAATTTATATGTTAGTGTATCAAAAATATTTCAATACATAATCAAGATAAAATTGAGATATTTTACCAGCTACTAGGGAGGCTAGGGCCAGAGAATCGCTTGAATCCAGAAGGTGGAGGTTGCAGTGAGCCAAGAATCCGCCATTGAACTCCAGCCTGGGCAATAAGAGCAAAACTCTGTCTCAAAAAAAAGAGATTTTTATTCTTTTTCTCATACTAAGTCTCCAAAATCTGGTATACTTTACACTTAAAAACACATGTCAAGGCTGGGCATGGTGGCTCACATCTGTAATCCCAGCACTTTGGGAGGCCAAGGTGGGCAGATTGCTTGAGGCCAAGAGTTCGAGACCAGCCTGGCCAACATGGTAAAACCCCATCTCTAAAAATACAAAAATTAGCTGGGCATGGTAGTGCATACCTGTAATCCCAGCTACTTGGGAGGCTAAGGCACAAGAATCACTTAAACAGGAGGCAGGGGTTGCAGTGAGCTGAGATCACACTACTGCACTCCAGCCTGGGTGGCAGAGCAAAACTTTGTCCCCACCCCCCACCCCCCCCACACAAAAAATCTTGTCAATTCAGATGCTAGGTTTTCATCAGACGTACTTAATCTGTATTTAGATTTCTTTTTTTTTTTTTTTTTTTTTTTGAGACGGAGTCTCGCTGTGTCTCCCAGGCTGGAGTGCAGTGGCGTGATCTCGGCTCACTGCAAGCTCCGCCTCCCGGGTTCACGCCATTCTCCCACCTCAGCCTCCCAAGTAGCTGAGACTACAGGCGCCCGCCACCACGCCCGGCTAGTTTTTTGTATTTTTAGTAGAGACGGGGTTTCACCATGTTAGCCAGGATAGTCTCGATCTCCTGACCTCGTGATCCACCCGCCTCGGCCTCCCAAAGTGCTGGGATTACAGGCTTGAGCCACCGCGCCCGGCCTGTATTTAGATTTCTTAAAACTTACTGTGGAAAAATGTATTTACATACTCAAGTTGTTTGAAATATAACTCACAGTTTTCCAATAACTGAAGTATCCACTTTTACCTGTATTAAAATCAAATAAAATTAGAAATTCAGTTCTGCAGTTGCACTAGCCACATTTTAAGTGTTTAATAGCCACATGTGGTTAGTGGCATTTATATTGGACAGGGCAGATCTAGAAAGAATCCTGTATCTATCAATTTTAATTTTTTTCCCTTTATGCTGTTATTCCTTACCTAGAGAAACAATTTCCCTCCAAAGTTCCTTTGAGGGGTCTGTTTAGGCCAGGCCCACACAAGTGAGCTATGTGGATTTTAGCATCCCTGATTTGAAATTTGAGGTTTTATGAAGCTTGAGTTTTTCTGGATTTTAGTACTTTGCTAGTATGTACTTAGCTCAAATATTTAATTGCAACTGTGTTGGGTCAACTATTTCTAATGGGACTTTTCCATGTGCATGTACAGTCACTGGAAACTGCTGGGCAGAGAAACTCGAAAAGGTAGTTGGGGCCCCCTCTTTTCACCTGTCAGATTGGTGAAGAATTGGTGAGGGTGTGGGGAAAATGGCATTCTCCCACTTTTGATGGATATGTATCCAAATAAAAGTCATGCCCATGCTTTCTTTCATCCAGTAATTTTATTTCTAGAAATTTATCCCTCTGTACTTGAACAATTGTATAGAGATTTATGCAAAATGATGTTTACTATAGCACAGTTGCTAATGGCCCAGTAGAAACAACCAACACATGCCTATTAGTTTGGTTTTAGTTAAATGAATTTTGCCATATCCATATAGTGGAATACCTCACAGCTGTTATAGATATATCTAGATATACTGAAAGCCATTTTTTCTTAAAAAAATTATAGAATGTATATATGGTATCATCCCATTTGTGAAGAGACATATGCTTATATGTGCATTAAAAAATTGTAGGATATGCAAGAAACTTAACAGTGGAATGTGAAAAGTGGGTGATTGGAAGAGGTGGAATTCCACTTTTCATTTATCTTTCTGAACCTTTTGAATCTTTTTTTTTTTTTTTTTTTTTTTACAATAAGCACGTATTCCTTTTTTTTTTTTTCAAGATGGAGTCTTGCTCTGTTGCCAGGCTGGAGTGCAGTGGCGCAATCTCTGCTCACTGCAACATCCGCCTCCTGAGTTCAAGCGATTTTCCTGCCTCAGTCTCCCGAGTAGCTGGGTCTATAGGCATGCGCCACCACGCCCAGCTAATTTTTGTATTTTTAGTAGAGACAGGCTTTCACCATGCTGGCCAGGATGGTCTTGATCTCTTGACCTCGTGATCTGCCCACCTCGGCCTCCCAAAGTGCTAGGATTACAGGTGTGAGCCACTGTGCCTGGCCCGCATGTATTACTTTTATAATTAAAAATTCACAACTCAATGTCAAGTGTGAACCTTGTGTTGACCCTGATTTGAGCAAACAATAAAAAGATATTTTTGAGACATTTAGATTATGAATTTCACATTTGATGATAGAGTTACTATTAATTTTGTGAGATGTGATATTGGCAATGTGGTTAAATGACTTCAGAGAAAAAGGAAGGTATAGTTAAGCAAGTATGGCAACATCTAATAATTTGGGTCTAGGTGATGTGTATGGGTTTCATTATACTGTCCTCTTTACTGTTGTATGTATTTGAAAACATGACAAAAAAACCTTTTAAATCAGTTAAACCATGAAGAACTGTTAAAGAAGTGAGCTTCCAAAAAGTGTTTATAACAGTACTGAAACACATGAATTCACTAACTAGTAAGCATCTATATTAGTCAGGGTTCTCTAGATGGACAGGAGATATATATACACACACATATATGTGTATATACATATATATATGTATATACATATATATGTATATAAAGGGGAGTTTATTAAGTATTAACTTACATGATCACAAGGTCCCACAATAGGCTGTCTGCAAGCTGAGGAGCAAGGAGAGCCAGTCCGAGTTCCAAAACTGAGGAACTTGAAGTCTGATGTTCGAAGGCAGGAAGCATCCAGCATAGGACAAAGATGTAGGCTGGGAGCTAGAAATCTAAATCTTGGCACCAAATAACAAATTACATAGCTTCTGTTTTTTTGAGATAGTCTCGTCTGTCACCCAGCCTGGAGTGCTGTGGCACGATCTCAGCTCACTGCAACCTCCACCTCCCGGGTTCAAGCAATTCTTGTGCTTCAGCCTCCTGCATAGCTAGGACTACAGGCACAAGCCACCACACCTGGCTAATTTTTTGTATTTTTAGTAGAGACAGGGTTTCGCCATATTGCCCAGGATGGTCTTGAACTCCTGAGCTCAGGCAATCTGCCTGCCTCAGCCTCCCAAAGTGCACTTCACAAATACAATAATAACTTTAATCCTCACAAGGCAGGTATTTCTACTTTAGCTATTGTTATTCTTTTTTTTTTTTTAAGCGATGGGGTCTCCCTATATTGCCCAGGCTGGAGTGCAGTGGCTATTCACAGGTATGATCATAGCATACTACAGACTTAAACTCTTTGGCTCAAGTGATCCTCCTGCCTTGGCCCCTGAGTAGCTGTGACTGTAGGTGCACACCACTGTGCCCAGCTTTTCTATTTTATAAATAGGAAAACTTAGGCTCAGTGAGATTTTGGGCTTTTGTTAGGGGAGAAGTAGCAGAGCCAGAATTTAAACCCAAGTGTGTGTGATTCCAAAGCTCATGTTTATTCCCCAATACCACAGGCCTTGCCAGACATGCTTATGTTGGGATCATTTGATTGTGGTATTTCTTTAGCCTTAGTCTGCTAAAGTTCTAAAACTAAAAAGGGTAGGGGGGAAAAAAGAGACATCACCTTTAGTCATTCTAGATCTATGTAGCAGGTATTCATTACTTGTAGCAGAAAAAAGGCAACCATTATTATTACTGATGCCATTCTAAGTAGATTTTAAACATTTGGATGTAATCCCTTTATCATGGAAATATTTAATTATATCATATATTCTTAATTTTAGTTAAAATCATGTCTGGCATGATGCCTTTAGCAACTTCTTACCATCCATGAAACGGTCCTCTTCCATAGTCTTAAAACAAGTAGTATTTACTAAGTTTACATTTTTCAATATGTAGATATTAAAAAAGAAAAACTTGATTTTTTAAAAAGGTGCTAATGTTTAATTCATTATGAGACCTCCATATGTGAGATTCTTTCTCTATTCTAATATTTTCTAAATGCTTACTCATAGCAGGTACTGTGCTAAATGCTTTATATGTATTGGCTCAGAAACTCCTCCATATTATCTATGAGGTGGTACCATTTCTATTCCTACTTTATAGATGAGGCATAAAAAAGTTAATTAATTTGCTAAAGGTTTCACAGGTGATAAGTGGCTGAGCAGGGTTTTAAAGTCTGATCTGAGTTTGTGGTCTGGCGGGCAGTGTGGCTCAGTGGACAGGAACCTGATAGAGGAGACATAGCTTTGAGCATAAGAAGGATTCCCCCAAACTGATGACAAGTACAACTTGAATGCATATACAAATAACATTTATTAAGTTAGGCTGTACAATAAATACCTCGCACAAAACCTGAAGTAAAAATCTGTAAGATGTCTTTCAGACTGAGTTTTATATTCTGAATAAGACAAGGGACTGCCATTTATTTAAAACAAAGCAAAATGACTCCAATTCCATTTATTTATTTATTTATTTTGAGATAAGTCTCGCTCTGTCATCCAGGCTAGAGTGTGGTGGTGCGATCTCGGCTCACTGCAACCTCCGCCTCCCAGGTTCAAGTGATGCTCCTGTCTCAGCCTACTGAGGAGCTGGGATTACAGGCACGTACCACCATACCTGGCTACTTTTTATATTTTTAGTAGAGACGGGATTTCACCACGTTGGCCAGGTTGGTCTCGAGCTCCACCCACCTTGGCCTCCCAAAGTGCTGGGATTACAGGCATGAGCCACTGCACCCGGCCTCCAATTCCATTTTGTAGGAGAGCGCATGAGGCTATACCAATCAGGCGCTGTGGCTGGTCTAATGCCCACACCAGGGACCAGCCCACTGCCCAGACTTAGCCTCCGGGTAGGCTGCTTTGCTATTAAGGCAATAGTCTTAGGATCCTTGTTATAAAAGTTTAAACAAAATCCCAAAGCTCTCAAGTCTTCCTGGAGGTGGCAATGTACTATCAGTTTGGAATGCATACCAGTCTGGAAGCTGAAATTACTCTGCTGTAGCCTTTTGAGCATTGGCAGCATTTTCCAAAATTTTTCTTTTCCATTCTTCATAATCCTGTGTCAGATCTTCATCTTTCTGTGGTTTATGTGGCATCTCCTCTACCTTCTTCATTTCTGACAGAAAATCATCAAAAGCAATTTCAAAATTCTTATGCTTAGAAATGAAATTTAAAAAAAGGTAAACCTGTTTAAATTGTCTAAAATAGAAAAGAAGACACTGAAATGAAGTGGAGAAACAGCAGTTATCACTTTTTTTGAGATGGGGTCTTGTAATGTTGCTCAGGCTGCACTCAAACTCCTAGGTTCAAATGATCCTCCCACCTCCACCTCCTGAGTAACTGGGACCATGGCTGGGACTATAGGCTCACACTACCACACCTAGCTTAGCTATCACTTTTTTCTCTCCCTTACACTCCAAGCATTCCAAGACATCTAACAATAGCTAACGTCTATCAAGCACTTAACTGGTGCTTGAGAGGCACTGAACCAAGTACTTTAAATGGCATTATTTCCTTTAACCCCTACTACACTCCATAATAGGCGATAATATTAATCACATTTTATAGATCAGGAAACTGAGGCTCACAGAAATTACAGACTTTCTTAGAATCCCATAGCCAGTGGCAGGGCATAATGGCTCATGCCTGCAATCCTAGCACTTTGGGAGGCAAAGGGGGCCGATCACTTGAGCCCAGGAGTTCAAGACCAGCCTGGACAACATAGTTGAGATCCCATCTCTACCAAAAATACAAAAATTAGCCAGTTGTGGTCGCACATGCCTGTAGTCCGAGCTATGCAGGAGGGTGAGGTGGGAGGATGGTTTGAGCTCAGGAGGCGGAGGCTGCAGTGAGCTGAGACCGTGCCACTGCACTCTAGCATGGGTGAGAGAAGCAGGCCATGCCTCAAAAAAAAAAAAAAAAAAAAAACCAAAAAACAAACAGACAAAAAATCACATAGCTGGTAGGTGATATTAAAACAATAATGCGCCGGACGCGGTGGCTCACGCCTGTAATCCCAGCACTTTGGAAGGCCAAGGCGGGCGGATCACGAGGTCAGGAGATTGAGACCATCCTGGCTAACACAGTGAAACCTCGTCTCTACTGAAAAACACAAAAAATTAGCCGGGCGTGGTGGCGGGCGCCTGTAGTCCCGGCTACTCGAGAGGCAGAGGCAGGAGAATGGCGTGAACCCGGAAGGCGGAGCTTGCAGTGAGCCGAGATCGCACCACTGCACTCCGGCCTGCGCGACAGAGCGAGACTCCGTCTCAAAAAAACAATAATGCAGCCATTTGCCTGAGATTGTCTTTGTAGCTAAAGCTCTTATAAGCAACCTGGAACTTAACTTGGAAACTTTTTTTTTTTTTTTTTTGTGGGGGGAAAAGAACCTCTGAAAGACAAAAATAATCCCCAGCCAATCACAACCAACCAACCAACCAGCTGACTGGCTGTACAACTAGAGACTTCCCATCAGACCATGCCCAGGTAAGACAAACACCTAGCTGTAGCTGCCCAGGCTGGTCTCGCACTCTTGGGCTCAAGCAATCCTCCCGCCTCAGCCTCCCAAAGTGCTGGGATTACAGGAATAAGCCACTGTGCCAGACCAGACATATTCTTAATTACCCAATACTGATGTTACTTCCATTATTGATTGCTTGGAAAACTGGTCTTATCAAATGATTCACAGTCAGAATTTACTTAAAACTGGACTCCTGTCAGGCAACCTGCTAGAGCAGCACTAGGCTGTTCACTGCATAAAATGTCAATGTCAGTACCGTGTTAGTAAAACTTACCCTTGGCTGGGGCTTCAACCACTATCTTCTTTTTCTTCCGTGGTGGGGCAGCTAAATCTCCAGGTTCTCCTTTAAGAAGTGTTATTAAGGTTAATTTTTCTCCTGTCCTCAATTTCAGTATTTGGGCATGTTTTGGATCACAAATAAAATTAGACACCTTAACTGATCAAATATGAGAAGGAGAAGACAAATGATCTTAGACTTCTCTTTTCTTTGGCTTCTCTTGTCAGACTTGAGAATCATTTCTATCCTGGCTTATGTATCTACAGGCTGGTATTTAACATGGGAACATGTTAATAAAGAATCTATTTTCCAGGCATAGATTCATAGAGTCATAGGTTAGAAACATCAATAAAAACATACCTGGTCCACATGTAATACAGAATTTAGGAAGCAGCCAGTTTACACATTTGAAAATATTTGACTTTTACAAACAAAAGTACTACATTTTCAAATGACACATTCTTGAACTACAGAATACTTACTGTCGATCTGCTGTCCAATCTTCTCTAGTTGTTTACACAGTCGATCAAATATAGCTTTTTTTACACCGGATGTGGCTACCATTTTGTTTTTATCCACTTTCAGCTTTAGAATCCTACAAAACAATTTCATAAGTTGCTTTTCTCAAAACCTGTACAGTTTTCTTCTCTGAGCAACCAGATAATCAACTTATTTTCTTTTTGACCATGCTTTAAGAGCCTCTAGTTTTTTCCTTCATTCCAAACATGTTATTATCTGTGCTAAGTTGTTTAGTTGTTTATTGGACTGAGAGTTAAAATGCACATGGGATCTGTTTTATAACAAAAGGAGTACATAAAAGACATTTGCTGTAGTGTTTTGTGACTTTTAGAACTCTTTAGTAAATCTCAGATTAATTTAATGAATGACAATCATAGGACTTTTGAATGTTCCACTCGTTTTAACTCACAGGATATTTATATTTATATTACAGGAATGTAACAACCCCACCCCACCCTGAAAATAAACTCTCCTAGTAACACTCCACAGCAACCACTAATTACAAACACAAAATAAGCTTTTTCTTCAGGATAATAGACCTGTCAAGACCTTTTCTTACTCAGCATAATATGGTTTCAAAAGTAGGGTTGACTAGTCTCACTGTTTTCTACAATAACAGCTACATTCCCTCTTTATATGCACATACTTTTGTTGAATTGAAAAGATGTTTTCTACAAATGCCAATTAATACTCCTAGGTATGTAGCTAATAGAGCCAAGCATACCAAAATTAGTGAGTAGGTAGTGAGAAATCCATTCTTTAAGGGCCAACTACATTTTGTTTTCTAAGGAGTTTTCTGGCAAGATAAAAACAAGACAATTTTAGACAAAGATATCAACTATTACTAATATTTCCAAGGTAACATTTCAGTATACACATAGATAACCCACAATTCTAAGATTCAGATGTGAGAATTTATCACTAAAATATGTTATAAATTCCTTGAAGAACAGTTGTAGCCAGTGCTTTTTTTTTTTTTTTTTTAGAGACAGGGTGTTGCTGTGTTGCCTAGGCTGCAGTGTAGTAGCATGACCACAGTTCACTATAACCAAGAACTCCTAGGCTCCAGTGAGAATTCAGCCTCAGCCTCCTGAGTAGCTGAGAAGCCAGGACTAGAGGCATGCGTTGACACCCAGCTATTTTTTTTTTTTCTTAAGAGATTCGGGTCTCACTATGTTGTCTAGGCTAGTCTTGAACTCCTTGCCTCAAGCAGTCCTCCTGCCTCCACCTCCCAAAGTGTTGGGATTCCAGGCAGGAGCCACCATGCCTGGCCCAGCCAGTACTTTTAAAAATATACGAGCAGAAAATCACATATGAAGATTGTTTTAATGATATCTCTTTTATAAGAGATATCATCTCTTATAAAAGGCAGGCTGAAATCAGAATTCCCAGCATATGTATACAGCTGCTATTTGGCTGGTGGAATTCTGACCACACTAGTTCCAAGTTGTTAGCTACATTATGGGATAAACTAGGAATATGGTCACTTGGCCACTATTCCTAATATTATTTCTAGGGGAAAAGATGCTCTGAATTGATATCAACTAAATTAGAAGTATTCCTTGGGGATGAAAAACCAACTTGTAAATTGGTAACTTTACTGAATGTTTAATAAAATACTTACTTGCATGCTGAAAGCAGTGCAGCAGAAGTGAAAAGTGGCCTGGATAAGTCAAGATCTACTTGCTGTGTCTGGGGAAGACTGGACTCATAGCTAAAGGAGAAGTTATTGCAGAATTATCTGTTAGAAAATATTATTTGAAAAGAGACTGAAAGTGCAAACCAGAACTTACAAGCTTTTAAAACGGATGAGATATGTGTGCTGTCACTTAACATGAGTTATTTTTTTAAGACTGAAAATTAACCAGAATAGGACAACAGATAATTTGTATCTATCAGTATAAATTTTCTGGTGCGCCCCACTCCCCACCCCCCACCAGGAAGTCTTGCTTTGTCATCCAGGCTGGAGTGCAGTGATGCATTCTCGGCTTACTGCAACCTCCACCTCCTGGGTTCAAGCAATTCTCCTGTCACAGCCTCCCAAGTAGCTGGGATTACAGGTGCATGACACCATGCCCAGCTAATTTTTGTATTTTTAGTAGAAAGGGGGTTTCATCACGTTGGCCAGGCTGGTCTTGAACTCCTGACCACATGATCCACCCTACTCGGCCTCCCAAAGTGCTGGGATTACAGGTGTGAGCCACCACACCCCGCCTATTGGTATACATTTTCAATTAAGGTTCTTTATGCCCCATACCTTTTTAGTATCTTTGAAGCCATATTCACTGCTTCTGTACAGCTAAACTGTACAGCTAGGTCTCTTATTCCAATATTTGAATTCAGGCCCAGTAAACACTCAAACGATTTAAGACAGCTCTGATATGTCTTCTTGTTCAAACCAGAAAGTTTAATTAAATAAGCCTGTGAAAGGAAACACACATACACAAATCATAAAAACTTTACATTCTATATATTAGTACCCTTAAACACTTGTTTAATAAGCAGTATAACTTTTCAAAGTTAATTTTGTGGCAAACCTTAATACCTAAAGGTTTAGCTTCATTTAGTAAAAAAATTGGTAATTATGTCAGGCTGAGGAAGTACTGCTTTCAAAGAGTTCAAACTATACAAAAGCAGGCAGTCATGCATATGCACAGATGATTTAAAATTATAACACAATACTAACATAGTCAAACAGGCAGTAAAAAACCACAGGAAACACATATATGGTTACTTGTGTTTATACAAAGGTGCTAACTGTTATTTATTGGGAAAAGGAAGGAGAGAAGTACTGGGAGTGGAGTAGGGACGGGATGGGGCGGTGTGTGTGTGTGTGTGTGTGTGTGTGTGTGTGTGTGTGTGTGAAAGAGGAAAAGGAAAGTAGGAAAAGAAACAGGAGGCTCCACTGTGGGAAACCAGCTCTGTCTGGGAGACTTGAGTAAAGTTTCAATGTAACAATAAGACAGGGTCATGTAAGACAAATAGTTTACCAGAAGAGTACTACAGGAAAAAACAAGGTATTGCATTTTCAAAGCCACAAATCATTGAAGTGAAGAGTCTGTTAAGTGAATACTGTAGCTTGAGGCCAGGATTCAAGAGAGGCTGGAGGGTTTGATGGTCATCAACAAAGCTTTGTTTTTAATATTACCATTTAATGAGTGTAACATTATGACACAGGTACCGTGTTAACGGTGTTATGTACGTTTAATCCTCCTCACAATAATCCAGCGAAATTGGATTTTATCTTCACTTTATGGATGACAACTGGAGGCTAACAGAACTAGCTAGTGTGGAGATTTGACCTCAACACGCAACTCCTCCTGACCCCAAAGCTTGTTCTCTCAAACACTGTGACATTGGAAGAAAAGCACAGGGGTTTGGACGTGCTTTAAAACGAGGGTAATGCTAGCAGCAATGTGGAAGACGGCCTCCAGCCGAGAAAGAGGTGGTCAGGGAAAACAGTGATGAGTAAAGAAAACATGGCAAAATTTTTTTCCAAAGCAAAATGATTCTACAGTATTTCCAGAATAACATACAAGAATAGCCAGACCAATCTAAAACAAGGGATTTTACTGGGGTTTAGTTCAACCAAAAGTTAAAAGAGCTTCACTGTTACACTGGATTATTCAGACATTCGGTGGGACCTACTTACCCTGTCCAAGGGACACTTCATCCAGGAAGCTGCAAGGTCCAGGCACATGACTGCACTGCTGGTCTCCGTGGTGCGCGCAGAGAGGCCGACACACTTCACCCGGGACAGGCGCAAGTACTCCTCTGCTTTCCTGGTTAAAAGGGCAGTGTGTTTGCTACAACTTATTCAGAAGTTTGCTCAACACGTTGGTAAACAATGAATACAGCCTGGTTAGCTTCACACTAAACCTAACTCCTGTGGCACGTTTATCTGGGGCTGGGAATGAAGGTCATACCTCTGGGGAGAGGAAGACAGAACCAGCCCTGACTCCGAACATCACTGTGCTCAAATGCTTTCAGGCAAAAGGAAGTTAAATTTCGACAAAAAAATAACCCTTCTTTCCTCCTTCCATTACTGGAACAAGCATGAACTATCACAGAGGCAGGCAGGTTAGACCAGGGTTCCTCCTTTCCTCCTATTCCTTTAAATCAGTAGTTCTTAAACTTAATTGTAGGCGAGAATCACCTTGGGGGCTTGTGAAAACAAATTACTGGGTCCCAGGCCGAGTTACTAATCAGTAGGCTTGAGGTGGGACCGAAGAATTTGTATTTCTAACAAGAGACAAGATGATATGGCTGTTGCTGGCCCAGGAACCACATTTTGAGAACCACTGTTCTAAACGACTACCGAGTCTTGCAGGCGTGTCTTCAAATCTTTTAAGTGCTCTATTCCTTGCCTTCCCTCGCCTGACTGCTCCACGTTTTAGCTACAATGGCTTTATTTCGAACCCCGGATCCCGCTTCCCATCTCAAGGCTTTTGCAGGAGCTGTCGTCCCTGCCTGGGCAGCTCTTGCCATAGCTTTCCTCGCCTAGCACCTGCCATCAATCCGGCCTCAGCGGGAACAGCGCCCGCTTTTCCGAGTTTTTGTTGTTTTGTTAAAGGCAGCCGCTAGGCCGCGCTCCACCCCACGCCCAGTGGTTCTGGCACGAGGCCCGGTTAAGGTCCTCGCCCTTATAGACAACGGAGTCTGCGCCGCGTTGTCGGGTTCCCTGCTGTAAACCCGACTGCAGTAGGCGTTGGCGGAATGAGCGGCAAATTCTCCCTGGCTCATTTTTCTACCACCGTGCTACCCGCGGACAGGGCTGGCTGTTCCCAGGGACGTTTGCCATCACCGTTTGCTATCGCCCTTCTTGCCATCTCATTCAAGCTTACGGCCGGGAAGTTTCTCTTGAAGTAGGCCCTAAACCCCGCGCGGCCCCAGCGCTCCCCGTCACTTCCGCGCCGCCCGACGCCTAGGAAGGGCGCCGGCCTCGCCTGAGGGCCCAGGGCCGCGAGGCGGGAGCCCAGCCCTGGTCTTGCGCGGCCGAACTCACCTCAGCATGTCGGGCTCGGCAAGACCCAGGCGCCGGGCTAGGCGCCCGATCAGCTCCGACCCCATAGCGCCGGGACTAAAGCGAACAACTCGGGCAAAAGCCGCGGGGCAATGAAACCCGCGCGCAAAGGCTGCACCAGCCAGTGAGAGCCAGGCCCCACCCCCGGCTCATGTGGATTGGTTGGGACAGGACATTGAGACCGTCCCACAAGCCAATCAGGGTCTTCCTTTCGCGCATGCGCATCACTAGCCCACTCGCCAAGGCAGATATGGTGAATGTGGACTTGTAGGCTTTCCCTCCTTCCATTCCTTTCTTCTTGACAAACTCATCACACACTGCCTTTCCCTCCTGTTGTCTCCTGTCTGCCGCCGGGGGATCCCCACTGCGCTGCACCCACCGCCCACTCTCACACGCTGTGGTGAGATTGGCTGGCGCCCAGGTCCGTCCATCTAGCGTTAAGTGGCCGGGGCCAATAAGCACGCGAGACTTCGGTTCCTAGAAGTAGGCCAATCAATGAGCAGCCTGTAGGGCCCGGGGGTGGGGCTAGAGAGGGCGGGGCTTGGAGGGGCCGCAGCGTCACATGACCGCGGGAGGCTCCGCGCGGGGTGGGTGCTCCTTGCTGCAGGCTCTGGGGAGTCGCCATGGTGAGTGTTGAGGGGGCAGTAGCACCCTAGCCGACCCTCCTTGTAGTCCCTGCTCTCTCCCACCGCCCCGGACCCTAGCGAGTGGAGAAGAGGCCCCAAAGACCGTTCGGGACTAAGACCAGCCCGATTTGGCCTGCGGGATAGGGGACAGGAGGAGAAAGGCCGCGGGCAGGCTGATCCGGGCCGGGGTGGGCGGCGGCTCCTGGCTGCGGCCGTTGCTGAGAGACGGGGCGGCCTCTCTGTGGGGGTGACTTGGCCTGTAGGCTTTGGGGTCCATGAAGGCCTGCGGCCTCCTGTAAGTGGAATCGGCCGCCTGCCCGCCACGAGGGGACCCGTAGTCCAAGGTCTGAGCATCTGGCCCCCTGGGCGCGCGGAGGCCCTGAGATCGGAGTTGGCGCCAGGACCCGCCCAGATGTTGCGTTTCTACCTTTGTGCCTAGTTGTGCTCGGCCGTCCTCACGCCCTCCTGGAGGGGTCGCAGTGGTTCCTTGGCTTTTCTTGGCCTCATACCCGCCTTCGGCTGCAGTGTTTGTCAGCGAGTTCTGGGGACCTGCTTACATGAATTTCCTGGAAGGAATCAGGCTGTCTTCTAATCCTGACGGTCGGAAAGGAGACTGATTGTTTCCTTTAGCATTTGTGCGTTGGGCGCACCTTGGCTCTTTTGTCTCTCGGTTGATGAAATCCAAGTATTTGACTTGCTGGAAGCAGTCCTTCTCCTTAGGGCCCCTCTATGACGGCAGCAAATCGTGGTGTGGCTGTTGGCCGGTAAACTTGAACTTCCTCAAAATGTGAATCTTTCTGTCTGGTTCCCACAAAGGCAAGTTGTCACTTGCATTTTATTAGCGTTTGACATAGCCTGCACTGTGCAAATAAATTTTTTGAGTATATACTGTATGTCCGCTTTAATTATCTTACTCACTCTGTGTAGACAGGCTTCTGTAAATCTGTAAGCCTGGAAACAGATTTCACTTTAACTGTCTTAGTGCCGGAAAGGATTAAGTGTTTTACAAATACTATTTTCATATAACATTGCCTTACAAGGTGATTTTTGTCTGTTTCTCAGAATATTTGCAATTGGGAATTGAAACAAGACCGGCGCAAAATTTAACTTTAGGATTTGTGTGTTTCCCAGCGTTTATGGATTGACATTTATATTGTTTTGTAATGGAAAACACTTAATTGAGGTTGTATTACGCACTCCGATTCTTTGTTGGGTGAACCAGTTGGGAGCAATCAGCCAGACACACAATCTTGTCCTCATGAATTTTACTGGGAAAGGAAACTTGAGTATTCGTTCTTTCACAGTCACTGTCTATAATTTAGGCAGGTCGTTTAGTCTTCTTGGTGTCGCACTTTTGCATCCGAAAGAAAGTGTTGGCCCCTTTGGCCCTTCCAAGCCCTAAACTTCTAGAATCCACTTCAATTCATCAAACATCTTGTGTGCCTTTAGTGTCACGGACTGTGGCACTGGGTTCCAATGTCGAACTTAAGAGGCTACTGTGGGAGATAAGCTTGTAGAACTTAACTGTAATACAGTGTGTGGATTGCTTTACTAACATTGTCAACTCAGTGCTTTGGGGTCATGGAGGGATAGTTTTGCCTGGGGATTTTGGGAGGAACTACAGGAAGTAACGTGAACTGAGACTATAAAGAGGGTGGACAGAAATTCTCCAGGTGGAAAGAAAAGGTATTGCTAATAGATGAAGCCAGAATGTTCAGTGTGCTCCATCAAAGGATTCTTGGGGATATGTATTGGAAATGAAGTTAGAGCCATTTGGTGTTCAAATTACATTTTGAAGTTCTTATGCCCTCATCATCCTTATTTCTCTCTACTTCAGTTGTCAATGTATGCCCTGTCATTTTTAAAATAGTTCTTTCATTAACATGATATTCTGTATCTTTGTTTGAAGAGATGAGTGTTACATTTGGTTTACCTTGTACTGTCAGATTACATCTACAGCATATGAGCAGGGAGATTGAACCACAATAGGTTTCTGACGTAAGTGGAGATAATTATTTGTATCTAAACTGAATAATAATTGTAGCACTTATTAAGTGCTTATTACTAAGTAGTAGGCACGTTTTGAGCTTTGGTTTCATTTGTTCTTCATAACAGTGGTGGGGGTGCTCTCATCTCTGTTTTATAGAAGAGGAAACAAAAGCACATTGTTTGAATGGAGAGTAGTTTTCCAAGTGATCAGTTCATGATGACCTTTGCTTTGCTCTGCACCTTATAACTGTAGTCTTGAGAGGGCTGTTTGTGGGTCTCAAGCTAAAATGGGCCTAATCACAAATGTTAATTTGATCCCCATTCTGTAGGGTTTCCATTTTCTTCTGATCCGTGTATCTGCGAAGTACAGTCATTTACAAATGGAAAACTGCTTTAATGATCGAGGAAACATTGGTTAATTGACTTGTGTTTAATGATAGCGTGTTCATATTATAATTGTTAAGGCTCTATGTGACCCTTCCTAGGAAGGCATCAAGAATAGCCCTTAGAATAGCTGTTGCTAGCATAACTACACTGTTTTATGAGTAATATATAAAAATAGACTGCATTACTATAGCTTTATGTCTTCATTTGTAGCTTACTTTGTAATAAGTCATTCTGTAATCTTCAACATTTTGTATTTACATTTCTATTTTAAGCCCAGTTGAGACAAAATAGAAGAATTTTCCTAAAATTGCATTCCTTTGTTTGTACATCTCTAAATCTTTCTAGTCATTCTATACAAATGTTTTTGTAACTGTTTGTAACCCTTTGTAGCCACAGTTTCATTTGCTATGTAATAAAAATTATCGTACACAACAGCCAAAAGATGGAAACAACCTACATGTCAATGGATAAGCAAAATGTAGTATGTGTATATATATATAGATATATAGATATATAATGAAATATTTCGTTTTTAAAAGGAGGGACATTCTGATACATACTGCAACATGGATGAACATTGAAGATATTATAGTCAGTGAAATAAGTGAGACATAAAAGGAAAAATATTGTGTGATTTCACTTATATGAAGTATATAGAGTAGTCAAACTCAGAGAAAAGAAGGTAGGATTGCCTGGGGGATCGGAATGGGAGTTTAATGGCTACAGTTTCCATTTGCATTTGTAAAGATAAAAAGTTTTAGAGATAGATGGTGGTAACTGTATTAATGTGGATGTACTTAACTTAGTGCCACCGAACTGCACATTTAAATGTGGTTAAAATGGTAAATTTTCCGTACATTTTACCACTATAGTAAGTCATTTTTAATTAAAATATCCAGATGTATCTTAAAGAAAAATAAAAAAAATTCAGATGTATCACTGTTTATCTCTAAATGGATCAGTTGAACTTAATGAAATCCATTGATTCAAATTATTATTAAATCTATTGCATCCAGAGGTAAGGAGCCAAAATATTCCAAATGATGGCCTGGTTTCACTAAAGTTCAGAGAAGACTAGCCCATGATGAGTAGTAAATTTCATTAAGTCAGAATCTTTAAATGCTGGTGGTCATCCTTGCCTCTGAAACTAGCATTTTATGGTAATAGTTCTGCTGGGATAAATTCATGTTCCCTTTTTTTTTTTTTTTGAGACGGAGTCTCGCTCTGTCGCCCAGGCTGGAGTGCAGTGGCCGGATCTCAGCTCACTGCAAGCTCCACCTCCCAGGTTCATGCCATTCTCCAGCCTCAGCCTCCGGAGTAGCTGGGACTACAGGCGCCCGCCACTTCGTCCGGCTACTTTTTGTATTTTTTAGTAGAGACGGGGTTTCACCGTGTTAGCCAGGATGGTCTCGATCTCCTGACCTCGTGATCCGCCGTGATCCGCCCGTCTTGGCCTCCCAAAGTGCTGGGATTACAGGCTTGAGCCACTGCGCCCGGCATTTCTTTGAAATTTGTTTAGCCGGGCGCGGTGGCTCAAGCCTGTAATCCCAGCACTTTGGGAGGCTGAGACGGGCGGATCACGAGGTCAGGAGATCGAGACCATCCTGGCTAACACGGTGAAACCCCGTCTCTACTAAAAAATACAGAAAAAGTAGCCGGGCGAGGTGGCGGGCGCCTGTAGTCCCAGCTACTCCGGAGGCTGAGGCTGGAGAATGGCATGAACCTGGGAGGTGGAGCTTGCAGTGAGCTGAGATCCGGCCACTGCACTCCAGCCTGGGCGACAAAGCGAGACTCCGTCTCAAAAAAAAAAAAGAAATTTGTTTGTGCTTCTGAGGAAGAGTGCTTG